CACTATCTTCATGAGCTCCAAAAGGATGATGTGCACAAATCTGTAGTCTCATAAACTGTATCAGGTGATCCTGCAATTTTGAAACATTCATTTTGGACAGATGTTCCATCTACAACACAAATTTGTAATGCAAAAATATTTTACTTAATACCCTGCTGCTTGTTTGATCTATCAACTGAAGGTTCTTTTCTACAGAGTAGGACAAGAGAATTATTGCTCGCTCACTTATACAAATTGAGTGTATATTTTGAGAGCCATTATCTTTGACTTAACATTCTTTGGGTGTCAGCTGTTCCACGACTCCCTCATTTGTGCAATCTAGGTGTTACAGATAATTTTCAAAGTTCCTTATGAGGTAAAAAGGGGATAAAGTAGTGACCTAATATATACTGGAAAGCAATATCAGATAGGTTTGTACTCATCCTCAAAGTTTTCAAAGACCTTTTTCCGGACTATTTTAAATAATTTCCACTTTCCATGACCTTCAATCAACAAGTTGGTTTAAAAAAATTTTTAAATTAATCTGCAATTTCCCAGGTTTCAATGAACCTTGCTAGGGTACCCTGATCAGTTTATGGAAATATTTGATACAATTAACCCTTTAACTCCCATAGGTGATCAAGAAATAATTTCTCCTTATTAATAATAACAAGCAGGCAAGTGATGAGAATAAAGAAAAATATCAAATAGAAGATTATCAGTTGATCCAATATCAAATTCTCTTAACTAACATCAGAAGAATTGTACGGCAGACAGTAAGGAGAATAACTAATGAGGTTAAGACACTGTACCTTCAAGGACGAGTTAACACCCTGAGTTCTTTTCCACATTGTGAGCAAGCAAGGAAACACACTTTCTCCAAGATGACAGACCTGGCCACGACAGTCATCTCCATTTGATTTAACAAAAGCATTCAGTGCAGCAAGGAAGTGTTCCACAATAACAATGTTACTATCATTCCTTTACGAAAAAGTTAAGAGAAAGAAACAAATGGTAACAGAAGTAAAATAAATGTTTAGGCGGTAAGTATCTTGAGAACCACCAAAAAGAGATAAAAATATCAGCATCAGTGGGAGGTATAACAAGATAATTTGGTTTTATCAACTGAGTTGATGACATACATTGGCTGCTGTAAAGAGTTTCTAAGACTGACATTTTGATCATTTTGCTGCTAAATTAATGTCAGCATTAGGAACTCTTTATAGTGGCCAGCTTACATTATCAACTGAGTAGATATTAAACCAGTAATACTAAGTTTGCTTCAAATCCAGCATCCAACCTGCTGCCACTTTAAATCTTGAAGTAAAATTAACATTTACTCATCATGACAAATAACCTACCAAATCTCCTTTAAGATCTTTTCAAAAAATTTAAAGAGTCGGCTTCCCTTCAGTGTGTAAAGGGTTGCTGCTCCCTCAACCAAGAGGTTAAGTATCTGTGCCACTGTTAGTTGTCCATTTGACAACCAAGAAGGTTTTTCCTCCATAAAGGACACAAATGTAGGGATCAATTCTAACAAGAGCACAAGGAAATAATTAGACTTGACAATAAATTTCTCAAAATTCAGTGACACTGAAACTCTACCAAGGGGGAAAACAATCACTTATAACCAGTTACCAGTGCAAGTATAATGGTATTTTTAGAACTCTGATCTCATTAAAAAAAATTCACAATTAGGACTGACCTACCAAAATAAAGTTGTGGTCTCCAAGGTGATTAAAAATTTCCTAGCAATATACAGAGAAATTTCTTGCTATTTTTTACCACTAATAACAGTTATTAACCCTGTCAGAAATGCAGTACTCCTACCCAAACTCTATTGCAATCCCATAGTCCCTTACCAATGTTTTATAAGCTGATACTTTAAACTAAGATTTTAGATTACACTTCTGTCAAGAAACAATGTCCCAAGAATTCTCATACCTTTCCATGTCTTCATGGTAATGTCATGCTGATATAATGGAACAGCCAGGATGTTCTTTAATTGCTTGCAGTACTCAAGACCCATCTGGCTAGCATACCTAGGCTCTTTGAATATCTTCATAAAATGACATACTACATCTTCTGCCTTCAAACGAGGACCCCCTGAAAAGTTCATGATATGCATGTCTGGTCTTAATTCTCTGAAGGGCTGTAAAGTACAACTTACCAAAAAAGGAGAACTGATTGAAAAGTAAAATAAATAAACTAAATGAACCTAATCTTCTATACCTAATACAAAAGAGGTTACATCAAGATTCAGAGTCCAATACCAAACATATATCACAAGCTAAGAGACTCAACTTCTGGCACTTAAGACTACAAGAATGGTAACTTAACTGAAGAAAAGAAACTTACGCTCATCTGCTTTCTTCAAGAAACCTCGAACAAAAGTTACAATTTCCTATCAAAGAAAATAGAACCCTGATATTAACAGCTATTTAATTATACATTGTGTGCTATGAATTAAGGATGCTTCATTGCAGATGCTTTGTATGATAAGGTTCTCAAAAAAAAAACGAAAAAGTCAACTGTCATACCTTTAACTAATGTTTTTATTCATGACTTGTAATTGCAGAGAGTATCCTGTTACATTTTTAGCACTAAATTACCACCTCTTATTTTACCTTTTGTCTCTTTTCAATAGTTTTTAGGTTCTTGATGTAATCCAACTCAGACACAACAAATATTCCAACATTCTTGAAAGCATTATCCCATGTCAAAACTTTCTTCTTCTTTAGATCAGTGTTCTCATCAATGATACTCAAGACTTGTGATGAACGCAACTGCAGAAGGATGTTAGTTGCAGCATTCTAAAACCCAAACAGACAATTATTTTAATTAACTTAAAACATGAAAGTCTTGCAATCTTCAATTATAAACTGAAGACAGTTTTCTTTAATGGTACATGATTCACTACGCAGTGAAATCAGCAATACACAGGGAACAATGCTGGATGACCTTAAATGCAGTTTTCTTTTATAACAGAAAGGTAACTAATTTGTAACTCATGGAAAAAATAATTTTGTTTCTTATTGTTTTTATAAAGCCAAATAAGGATAATTCACCAATTCTTGAGAATTTTGCATCTCACAAGAAGTCCACCACCAGTTTCTTTTCTCTTCACCTATCTCCCAACCCCCTTCAATTCATTATGATTGCATTCATTAAATTTCCTGTGATTATTATTTTCCTCTACACAAAAATCTCACAGAAATTTGTATTTATCTACTGGCATTCTATAACAAATGCTGTAGTCTGTTTGGCTACAGTACTCCCTATCTGTCCCCTGATATATGGCATGATTGATTTATATCATCATGCACAAATAAAAATGAGCCTGTTGTGATGTTAATTCTTGAACAAATAGTAGAAATATGCTAAAACAATAGTCCATTTTACTGTTGGGTGCTTGGTTGCCAAGCCTTTGAACAGGAGTGAGGCTAGGGGTGACCTTGTTATGATACAAACTTTGCTGCTTTTTAAATGTAAATTTCTCTGTTATTATGCTAACTAGATACTGGTCTCTGTCATAACAAGGTCATCTTCAGCCTCACTCTTAATCAAAGGCTTGGAACTAAGTACATAACTGTAAAATGGCTTATTACATCATTCCCTTTCAACTTCCATATATCAAGTGCAATACTTAATTCTGAGGTCGCCCTCATCAACTACCATGGGATAGAAATTTCGCATTCACAATTACATTGTTTCATAAAAGTTACGTCCAGATACGTACAGTATTTAAGCTACAACGTGGTATCAAGAAAGCTAAATACTTCGAAATCTTATCTCTATGGGAAGCGTTGAGTTAAGTTCTACGCATTAGATAGAATAAACAAGCAGTCTTCATATTGGAACTGAAACTTAAGAAAAAAAAACCCGGTTGAAGACCTCATATGAATTCAGAAGAAATTCTCACTGAATTGCAGCTTTTCACTAGACTGCGCACATACAATTGCTCGCTAAAAATGGGCCACTGTTATCAATGAAATTGTCACTTCGATGACCTACTCCTCACATGTAGTTTGATTGAACCGTTAGTTACGATATTCTTCGCCCTGACAGATAACATACAACATGAACTTGGAATTTTGTACATGAATTCCTACCCGTCTTTCCGTGCGAGTAGCTTCCAGAGATGCCACCAGAGTGAACTGATGAGAAATCTCCCGTATCGGATCTCCAGACATTCTTCAAGATGTTAACAACATGTTTACAAATCATCTGAGGGGCCATTTATACGTTACCTTCGTAGAAGTAACTCCAAATTCAGCCATAGCCAAACTTGCAAGGCGTTGATGTTTTGTAGTCCCCAGATCCTTTCTCACGAACTGCGCGAAATTTACCCGCGAAAAAAATGCCTTACTGGGGGGGGTATGGGGTGACATTTGGTACTCTCGTTATTTCGTGACGAAGAAACAGTGGCAGCAGAAACTTTGTATCGTTTTATTACTGAGCATCAGGTTTTGTCTTTAACAGGGTTATCATACTAAGTTCTCAAGTACACCACTCACAAGGCTCTACTCCGTACTCTCGAAAGTAAACATGTGCCTCAGAAAGTGTTGGTAGGATATGATGGGATTTCCCTACCCCTCCTTAAACTTCCAACACCGGTACACATTACAAATATATGCTGTGGCCACGATACCGGACAAAAATATAAGTTCGCAACAGTTAGTTTTCTCCTGTTGAAGAATATTTTCTCCTACCCAATAACTCTGTAAAAAATGTGATAAATACTTCATCTATTCATTGCTGAAGGCGAACTTAGAAAGTAAGGGGGGAGGGGTAGGTAGGATACTTTGCTAATCTTGCTGTAAGCTGATTGGCGAGGGAAGAGTTACGTTTAGCGGTCAATTACATACTTTGAGGCAACGTAATATTACTCCGTGCAACTGAATTTAAATGAAATCTTTCGTGATCCACGTCGACAATGTCATGAGGTGTTGACAATTTAAAGAGAACACCGGCGTTCGAACGGAGAGCTCTCGTGAAGAGTGCGAATTGACTGAATTCCTTGTTCGTGAAAATGAAACTTACCAAGACGGAACTAATGATATATTATTTATTGTCATGCTGTGCTCTTCACGGACTGTCTTATGGACAGGAAAATGCAGAAAACACAGCAGAAAACAACGCTCACTCAACACCGATAGAGGACACAGCTCAATTCCACAAACAAAATCAGGAGAGAAGGCGAGTTGAATGTGATTTTTTTTTAAGAGCCATTAAACTTTCTTACTTAAATTTATGGTATGCGACGGATACAACCTCAGGTTAAAGAAGTGCAACAATACTTACCTACATTACGATTGAAACCGTTGCTGATCTTTTTTCAGATACATCGATAACTAGACATTTTAACCTTGTTCAGTTCATTTGAGATATAATCCACGGTAAAATTTCCGCACAGCCCCATCCAACATTATGCACTCAGTTCTTGGATAGAGAAAACAATGTCAAAAACAATACATTGCCAGTGGGAAAACAGATTTTTTTTACAAGGGTATGGGGCTGTGCGGAAATTTTATCAAATCCACTTCCTGTTCAATGATTACCAGGGCTCTAGACACAAATCAAACCTGAATATTCTTCAAGTGAATTTCAACTTAAACAATGCGCCTTTTCATATAACATCCAAACTGTTCATTACCGAATGTAAGAAAATTTTCAAAAGTAGTCTTTGAATAAGACCATTTTGTAAGATTTAAACAGCCTTCTTGAAATAAGAAGAATCACTCCTGTTAAAATTTTAAGAAAAAAATAATTTGTTTTTTAACATTTTCTTAGCAAAATAAATATCAGTTTTTGAGTGATGATGATAAGATTATTGAAAAAAATTTGTTTAATCAGTAAATTATGTTGATACAAAGCTGACTGTTGAGAGCGGGTGTGTATAATATTCAAGTTAAATTGAATGAGGAATTAATTTTAGAAAAGTCTGTTTTCTTTCCCATATTTATTCTGTAAAACAGCTGCATAAATGATAATACACATATTCCACATTATTCCAAAGTACATAATTGGGGATCATGGAAAAAGAGCCATCAAACACACACCCCAGGCATTTTTAGCAACTTCTCTCTACTCTTTTCAGAGTATTTAGAACTTGCTACTTCAATTTCAGAACTCTGATTGCTGTCAACAGTGATGTGGCTGAACCATTTAGAAGCTGTCTTTTAAAAAAGTAATTATTTACTTAATTTATCAATTCCATCATTTTAGACATTTACTTGCTCATCTAGCTGACAGAATGGATCTGGATGGAGAAGGTTTGAGGTATTTCACTTTTATTTTTAGAGTTTTTTCATATTGTTAAAGGCTCCTACACAAGAAAGCATTAAAATATACTTTGTAAATTAAAACTTGATTTGAAAAATATAGACTCAGTTGAAAATATATTTCCCAGGAAATATAATTGCCTTGTAGCATTTCAACAATAATTATTGTTTCATATTACCTTCCTTCCCTTTAGCGTCTTGTTTTCTCATACCTGCTGTTGTTACGTTGCAGACATATAAAAAAACACTTAGGGGAAGTAACTGGACAAGACCAAGAAATAAAAGATGTGCAAAATGGTGACAATTCTAAAGGTACTGTTGAGACCAAATTGTAACCCTTTACACTGTAACAACAGTATTGATATTCTCTATACTCTTCTCTACACATTTCCATTGGCACTGATAAGGAGAATGTTTCTGATAATCAAAGCCTCATGGATTGACAACCATTTCTTTTATTCTCGTGATCTTAATGAATGATTAAGAAGTGTTTCTGTAAGAAGAAACTGGATGCTGGTTACTATGTGGGTTTAAAGGATTCAGCAACATTGCATTTGAAAACCCTCCACAAGAAAACTTTTCCTACTCCCCTTGAGAACTATCTAGTTTATTGAAAGATGACTCTGAGTATTCCAAGTTCTTGTATGTTTTTTGCTGTTGTTGTTTTTTGTTGTCTCTGTTACACAGGAAACAAGGAATAGGTCCTTATCATGATACCCAATACTAAATCAATAAAAAAGAGAACCAGAATAAAGCACCAACAATGTAGAAGTGCATTAACCACAAGATACACCTGGAAGGATGCTCAAAATTTGAGATTATGAGTGAAAAAGTAAACCATGGATTTTAGCAGTGGGCATGATGGCAGATTTCCCTGAGTAATGCTTGTAATGCATGCATGTATGCAAAAAAGAGGAACAGCAAGGAAGGGTTAACATTATGATTATTATTGTCTGCAGGTATATTTTATTTCTTCAAGCTTCATGATTATGATGACAACCAAAAGCTAGATGGCTTAGAATGGATGAATGCACTGACAGATTTTCACACAGAAGATGATAGCAAAGGTGAATTCAAAGAAGGAGGGCGCATGTTCCTTGAGCATGAAGCAGAAGCCATTGTAGATGAACTTCTGATGAAACATGACAGAGATGATGATGGTATGATTGATTTTATTGAGCTGATGAACTCAAAAGTAAACTCATTCATGACAGACCTGGACAAGCCTCAGGAAGGAGAACAAGAAACCCAGGAAGAGCAAGAACAGCAACAGGAACAATCATCTCTAGAGCAAGAATTTAATCAACGACAACAAAATCAAAAGTCTTCAGAGCATAATCAGGCACAGGATGAAAATAAACCACAAGAAAACCAAGAACAGGATCAACAGCAACACCAACCTCAACAGGAAAACCAACAGAATGAACAACATGAACAGGAAGACCAACAGGAGCAACAAGAAGAACAACATCAAGAACAAAGCCAGCAAGAATCTAATTCTGAGGGTTTACAAGGAAATGAAGAACAAGTCAATCAGCAGAATGAACCTTCTTTAGAGGATGAATATAATCAACATCAACAACAGCAACAACAAAAATAGCAATTTAGGTATTTAGATAATAAATAGAACTGAAAATGAATTCAATAAATTGCAAGTCTGCAGCTTTTTTCTCATCATGAAAAACTTTTCCATGTCAGTGCCACATATTTTTTATTCAATAAACAACACACTTTTTTGCCAATTTTTCCTTTTTAATTGTTTACCTTGCATGATTTTTATGATTGGTTACAAAAGTACTCAATGGTGGAATCAGCCCCATAATGATAAAACAACCATCTCTATCGTGTCTTTGTCAACTTTGTTGCTTTTCATTCCTCTTCTTTTAATTTATTTATTTTCCTTCCCCTCCTCCCCAACCCCCAACAAGGATAATTATAATAAAGGTATCCATCTGGTTATTTGAGCCTGAAAATGGTTCTCAGCCCCCTAAAAGACCCAGAGTCAGTAATCTCTTACCCAACCCTGTGCTCTTAATTAAGAAGTTGACCTCAGTTGGAATCCAGGCCTTAAAGCTAACCACATTACAAAAGTGCTGCAAAGTAAGCAGATTAAATAATCAACTTTAGGATTTGACCTTACTATCTAGACTCTTCAAAATGTCCAACATGAATCTGAAGCCCTTATTGCCTTCTATTATCCATTACAATTCAAAGGCAGTATCACAAGTATCCTCATGCTGTGCCAAGATAATTGGAGCTGAGAGAGGCATTTGGGGGGAAGCGGAGAGCTGAGAACATTTCGCTTGTTCAAACAACGATATGAATACAATCATTTTGGGGGTGGGGGGCGGGGGGAAGGGAAAGGAGAGTGAGGGAAGAGGGAGGTAAGCCTGAGTTATTTTGCAAAGACGTAATCCATGCATCCCTCGTACTCAGAGCCTACCCCAACTAAGAGAAACGATTGGCTCTGGGGACGAGAATGGCGCGTGAAGTGCAGAGTGTTAAACGAGAAGGAAAAAACCTCGCAAACTTTTCATTTTCACAGCTTACGTTTCTTCTTCAATGCTCAGAACGTTAGAGAGATGAAAACTGTGTTTCGAATATTTTGGCTCTGCTTTCTTTCACAAATACTAGGTAAAATTCATGTAGAGGTAAGCGGTAACGTGTAAGTTCATTATTGTTCAAACAGCCGCTAACAATTAACACAGGCTAAGCTATATATGCTTTTGATTCAGAGGCCTATCTTTAATCGGAAAACTTCAGCTGGTGAAAGAATGAGATTATTTCATCGTTTTGGAAAGAAGTGAACTCCCGATTTCTGCAAATCGTGAATTTTGCGGTTTGGGTCTTCATTTATTGACATGATCCTTTATTGACATGATCCCTGATGATTAACCATCGCCAGTTGCTTGAATTATTTCGTACCAGTAATACGGTTAATTTCCCCACCGAAAAATGTTTCTTATTAAAGTAATTTTTTTTCAGCGTTCGGGTATCTTTCCAGTAAATCCTAAAAGTTTTGGAATCCAATTCTGTAAGTAGCTACAAAACTGATCATGGCCTTACTTACACAAAACGTTGAGTGACTCTGTTTCGTTTGCAATCCATTTGAAATGAGAGAAGATTTATCGCGATCATGTGATGTGTTTTCGTCACGATGTATCTTATTTCTCTTCAGACATAACACTTGCCAACGATGCGAAGAAAACGCTCACAATAACCCCGAAAAAACCGAGATGTTGTTGGCAAGTTGACAAAAACGACCTAGATTGTAAGGTTGGAATATTTTTATAAAACCTCTGAGAGAACCGTTTCTTTGATGAATGATATGAGACAACTTCAAATATCTGTGAACTATTTAAAATTTTTTTTATCAGTCCATGGAGCTTATAGGTGGCAATGAAATACAGCTTCCATCACTGAAACGCGAAAATATCTCGTATGTATTTCCAAACAAAGTAAGTTCCTCGCTGATGAATGTTTACTTGTTTACTTGTTTTTTCTTATTCACACAGAAGGATCAAAAATCGATTTTACAAATAATTTAATGTAGAGGTACATCAATCAGGTGTTGTGTAGCTTGGTGATAAGGAACACAAAGCACCACACAAACACACAAAATTATCCATGAACCCTTTGACTCCCACGAGTGACCAAGACAGAATTTCTCCTTACTATACCAATACAATATTAAACGGGTAAGTGATAAGGATAAAGAAAAATATATACTAGAAAATTATTAGTTGATCCAATACCAAATTCTTAGAACTAACATCATAAGAATTATGTGACAGATAGCAAAGAGAATCGCTAATGAGATCTTGGGAATGAAAGGGTCAGGCAAGACTTCACTCAATTTTTTGATATGTTTATTGGTTGAGAGTCTGCCCTAGGTTGACTTGAATTTTGTTGTTTTGACGTAAGTTATTGGCTTGGAATCGACCTCCCAATCAGAGAAAATTAGCTCTTTTAAGCCTTGTTCAGTATTTTAAGTGCCTTTAGAAGCAATGCTTGATAATAAAGTCACTGGAGATGGGAAGGTAACAATAAGCTCTACTGAAATATCTGAAGAAACTGCCCTGTACAATGTGATGAATACTGCCCTGTCTCACAACAGTACCCAATGGACAGAATTGGAAATTGTGACTTTACCTTCATGGCTGGGGAGAAACAGCTTCGACACAGAGTCAGATTTAATACCACAGAACCAAAGAAAAAATCTTGGTTAGATGGTAAATCTCTTCCTGATTTATTCATATGGTTAGAGTGAAACAGAATTTGAGTTATTTGTTACCTAGAATCATGTTGGATAGAGCTCTTGTTTGAGTTTAGGTCTCCAAGGAAAAACTTTATGTTGACATTTTCCTGAAGTTCCTGTGTTAAACTCAGGGTCATATATTTCCCAAAAATTTGGATATCAGCATCAATTTGTAGTCATTGTTTAACACTATTCCACATTTGCCCTTTACCCATCAGTAAGTTGGTTAGTAAATAAAATGAGTTACAGGTCCTCAAATATGTTACAAAATAAGTTACAGTTCCCAACCAGTCACTGAACAATCACAGCAGAACGAATAAAAAACATTCAATTAATTGAAAAATAGTTCACCTAAAATAGCAACACTCTAGCTGTATAGTGTTTTCAGACTCGGAAACCTTGTGTTTCAGGCAAAGAGGGAAGTAAATAAGAAGTATCAGATAAGTGAAAGAGAGTGCTTTTTTTCTTTACAGTTATCGGGTTTGGAGGTGACAGTTTCAGAAAATGCCGAGGAGTTGATAGGGTTAGTTTACAAGGATGTCCAGATTTTGCTAGTTGTGAAATATATAGTTTAGAAGCGCGTCCACTGAAAATACGAATCGAAAAATTTACCTATGGTCTCACTTATCTTTCTTCCATGGTTAATGTAGGTCCAACGAAAAAGATGAAAAAAACTCCCATTTACTAAAAATGTATTAATGTGTTTTACGACACACGTGATTAGTACATTTCGATAAAGTATTCCCTTTGTTGGACTCTTCTTTTGTTATGTTTCTTCATTACTTGCTTTCACGCTCTTTTGAATTTTTCTACAGCCGTCCTTGTCGATGACCGTCGAAAAAGTTCAAAAAGCGGAAATTAAATGAACAGGTCTTGTCAATTTCTCTTCCTCCGGTACTATTAAATCCACCGAAATGACCGTACAGTTCTAATGATGGACTTTTTCTTGATGCTTTTTGAGTACGCAATGAGAAGAGGGAGGATTTAGCAGAATCTAGTCACCTTAATAGGAATAAGACCGTCTGAAACCTGCTGATTTAGAGGATAATTCCTAACATCGTGATGATTTTTGTTACCAGGACCCCAGGAAAAATTGTGAGCCTGTGGACTGCGTTGAGAAGTACAATGGATGGAGAAATTTCTTCAAAAACTCGACAGGAAAGTGTGAAGTTATTCATGAGTGCTACACAAAGGGCAAGGAAGGAGAGCTACCTGAAATTGTAAGTGCGTCATTTATGCAGTATTGCAGAGGAAAGGCGCAGTCCTTAAATCGTGCGAAAAACTAAAACTAAAACTAGAAAACATTGGGAAACTTTTCCATCGCGTCGAGCCCACGACCACTCGCCCGGGTTGTTTAACGCATTTTGGGGAGGATTTAAGGGCGACTTAAAAGAAAGCGTGGCATAATTTGCTTGATATTGTTTACGTTGCAACAGGCATTTGACAAAGACTATAACGACTGCAAAAGTCTGGTAAGCCCTACGCTGACCAAAAAGCAGAAAAAGCAGATCTATGACAACATGGAGAGAAGCAAACTGGCGAAATTGAAGTTTACCTTAGAGGATATCAAAGAAATAAACCCGGTGAGCTGAAAATTTTAATTTTCTCAGAATGTCCAGTATATTTGAACCCCTTTGTCTCACAAAGTAATCAGAGCGGTTGTTAAAGAAAAACGGTCAACGAAACAATGTCAACAACCTCGAGTGCAGAAAAACGCAGAGAAGCAAGTCCTGATGATCGGTTTGGTTTATGCATGCATGATTTCTTAAGAGGATGGCGGGATGACACGGATAACCGACTCGCGATTGGTTGAGAGGCTAGCGCAAAATTTTTGGACCAATCACATAGCGTATTAAAAAAAGAAACCAATGCAGTCTGACCCGCAATCGAAAATTACTCTATCAAGGAGATAATGACTGGATATGGCCCTCACCGACAACAGGGCGTAGTCTGATCTTGAAGCCTTAAACCCATGTGTTTCCAAGACACTTTACTGAGTATTCTGTTTCCGATTTATCCTCCGAACTTAACTTCAAGACACGAGACAATCTATCAAAATGATAGTGTTTGTTTGATTCACAGGTGCCACTCAACTGTCATCACGGCCGGCGCGTTGGTTCGGTTTGTGTTTGCAACGAAGGCTGGAAGACAAAAACTAACAATGTGCCAAAGAAAGACTTGCGGTATATCTACGACTGGTGTAATGTAAAGATCGAGAAATCAAAGAGGGCTTATCAAAGAGCCCTCATGCAAGCTGTATCCTTCACCTTAAAACACTTCATTTCGACGGAATTTCTCACGACATTATTGTAAAAATCATCCAGATGGAGAGGAAATACTCAAAATCTAACATAACATTAGTTCGATACAGCGAAGGCCCGATTCACTTTCACTTAATCTGTGAGTTAGTCGATACAATTTGTCAAATTTAAGGGCCTGATTATTTCGGAGAATTAATCGTTACCTAGAATCAAACTGACTCCAAGATCAATTTTCACAGAAATTAATTGTTAATGCCTGCCTCCGAGACGAGATGAAGTAATCTTATCATCTCCTCTTCACTGAGTAGAACTGGTTTCTTAACTGACCAATCAGGGTTTGGGGGTGATGGGTTTCACCCTTCTGATTGGCTGGCTGCTGATAATATGGAGTTGTTTCATTGCCGGAACTGGAAGTGAAGGGCGCGTGAGTCAAACGTTCAAAACACTTTGTAAGTATTGCAATAGACGCATACTCCTCTAAAAGATAAGGGACTGACACCCTCATAAAGCAATTTTCAATCGGGTGTCCAAAGTAATCCGAAATTGCATTGAGTTTGCTTCACTTCTTTGAACGATTGGCCTTAAAAATTTGAGATAATCTCTCACCTTCCCTATCCCGCGCTCGAGGCAGTTTCCTGATTTCTTCTTCGGGTTTCCATCGGCTCCTTACGCTAATTTTCTTTCTTCTAATTGGTTGTTATGATTACTTTTAGTTTGGTTCCACGACTCGCAATTGAAATGAGATATCTAGGTAGTATTCCTAAGGCGTTATCTTCAAGCTTTAAGAGAAATTTTCAATTGTGTCCAAAGTAATCCAAGATTTCATTGGTTTTGTTCCACTTCGCTCTGATTGTTCAAGGAAACTCGCGCCACTCTCTCAACCAATCAGATGCAATACTTTTTGTCTTCAGTGTCTAGTTCTTATTGCCTCTTTGAAGTATTTTTCCTGTCTTCTGATTGGCCGTTATTACTTTGTTGTAGGCTCTCTAGAGCTCACAGTATCTACGGGACTAAAATTAGCGACACGGGATCTGTTACTTCAGGCTCACTCGAACATCTCGTAACCCACAGTGATCTGGAAATAACTTGTGTCACAGGGCATCTTAGAGGCCCAGTCTCAAAGCTTTACTCTCTGCAGTTGAGCAAACAAATTCCCATTCGTCATAATTATTTCCTTGTTTTTCAGGGATCACTGTCGAAAGATTCTGGCGACGGAATTCTCATGGCTACATACATACATCTTATGAGCCAACCAATGACAACGAGCTTTGTTTAGCAAAGGGACAGATCGTGCAAGATATTGTTAGAGTCGACGACAAGGAGGGGTGGTACGAGGTAAAAATTGGACAAACTGAAATGTTATCAAGTGCACCTTGCATTTACCTCCACCCAAGAGGTCTAGAAATTCCCATCATAAGCTCCCACACTGCAACAAATCGTTCCATGTCAGATCAGCATAGGCTGATTCAGCCAATGTCAGAAATCTGGAGGCACTTTGATAAAGGAAAGAATCCGTCGGTCCGAGCAAGTTATAAGCTTAAATTTCCTTCCCAAAGTTACATTTTGACACTGGCATCCTATCACACGCGATCAATGCCTATTCTCGTCTTTCTTTTTTCGTCGCCCACTAAGGAAAGATGCAAGCAAGCGGTAGAGAATTGCAAGGTTTTGTACGACAATTTTTTCTCTCGCTAACCAATTTTTTTTCCAGCTTCATTAAAATCAAGAAAGAGTAGTTGTAAACGCGTGTTCGTGTCCAGAAGGCATGGAATTTCATTTTGAAAGAAAGAAGACCAGAATGTCGGTGACTCGAGGAATGTCATCCAAAATTTCGCATAACTAGGGCGCGCAAAACCCTTCTTTAACAGCACCAACAATAATTCTTTTACACAAACTATCTTAATTTCTTCGTAGGGCACGTGTAACGGAGTGAGGGGACTTTTCCACCAAGACTATGTCATTATCAAAACAAGTGAATCCAAGAAGATCCCGAATTCGGCGCAAGATTAAAAGCATTTGCTTTTTACTTTGTAACACTGAATTAAAAGGTCTTTTGAGTGTTGTTCCAGACACAGTTTGTGCAATCACCACTTACATGTAATAATTGAAGCTTTTTTTATCTTGCTTTAGACCACGCAAAAGTGTTACATTTCACAGTCGTAATTTGTAAGTTACTTGACACATAAGATGAATTTCCATGAAATAAAAGTGTTTATCGCTATGCACACTAAACAACTAAGAGAATGACACTGCTTCGTTACGTTAAAAAATACAAATTTTGAGAATAGGAGAAATAAACGAGGAATGTGACATCTTCACAACAATCCTTGACGACTCAGATCTTCAAACGTCCGTTTGTTTACAACATTTCCAAGAGAATCTTCGTATTCTTCCTACAAACAGAATCAAAGTAAGGTGATTAAGACCTTGCAATCGCTCGGTTATCACCATTCCCCTTCGCTGTTGCTCTTTGAGATGTCACGGGCTAAGCGTTCCATAACATCTCAAAGGAAAGGTGGAAAGGAGACTATGTCATCACTCGATCATCTTCAAATAATTAAAAGTTACTTCACTCTGCCACAAGACTAAACACTCGCCCAAAAGAAATATGTTCGAATGGGAACCACGAAGACTAGGTAGAGTGAACTTGGTGGAGGCTTTCGGAAAACTTCCCAAGAGAAATAAGGTGAAAATTTCTTTTCTGACCAATGTCTTGTCGCACAAATAAATAACTTCTCAAGTTCAATAATCACACAGATCACCCAGCGGAATCGGTCAAAAAAATACTCGCCTAAAAACCAGTTATTAACATAAGGAGTCGTCGTATGACGCTTCAGTGTTCCTTTGCCAATGTGTGTGTCTTAGAAATAAAAATACCACAACCAAAAAGACCATATGTGGGCATGTTATCAATACCAATTTCACTGAATCAAAACAGTGGTTGCATCTACCAAGAAAGGAGTTTCCGTAACTAAACAACGGTACAGACAGGAAAGTCAGCAAAACTCGAAACTTTGGACGAATTTACCTCTTGATCAGGAAGCCAGCGTTCTTTGGCCTTCACAGCCTTCAACTTATGCCATACTGTGATAAAAAATAAAAAAAAAAAAACGGTAATGAAAAAGAAACAAGTTGCGTTTACAGCAAAAATAAGGGAAGAACATGAGGCACTTTTGGACAACTACAGCTTAGTGTTAATAAAAAAACCCAGGCATTTGTGGTATAAGTAAGAAGAGTATGTGTCTTTCATAGTATTTCTTATCTCCAAGCTGACAAGCTAGAGAGCTGCGCCCTAGAGCTTCCGACAGTAAGTCCAATGCAGTTTATGTTTCACCATTACTGAAGCTCACAATATTAAACGTCTGGTACGTTTTACTGTACTACGGTTGAGTGTACCGATAACAAAATACATTCTGCTGGATGCGGACGCTCACACTCTATGCCTCATTGTCTCGCTAACATTTTTGCATTCCTGTATAAAAATTCCCCCTTCCCCACTCACTCACGAGCACCACTCGCGAACACACGGTTTAAACGATGTAAACTGCGATGGACTCATCGCAACAAGCGTTCATGAGCACCCTACAAATAACTATTAATCATCATGAAAAACGATAGAAGAAATCGATCATTACATGCAACAGCATCTTCTATCAGAGTGACGTTGGCAAAATGCGCTGTATTTGGGATTCCAAGACATCTCATGCCGTGTGCGTGACGCCATTCCTATGTAATAAACAACAATAGAGTCTTCAATTTTCAAATTAGTGTCGAAAGTATAAATCATGGATTGTAATGGTTTTCCCCATCTTCTCTCTAATTGGTCGAGAAAACTCGCGCCATACCCTATAACAATAACATGTAAAACCAATCGTAATTTGATCACTCGTCTTTTCCCGTCGCGCGCTTAACACGGGTTACTTATTTTCACTGTGAAATCTCATTGGCTTGACGTGACGTTGCCATCGTGTTCTGATAGGCCGTTGTGATTCATTTGGTTTTGGTTTTTAACGACAAATGCAACCTTTCTTGCAACTTCACTTGGTGCGAACGTTGACATTACATAAAAAATAAGAAATACCGCAAGACCGTCATAGAGCTCTAGTGCAAATATAAAGCTTGCAGTAACGCTAAAAGAGATTCATCATACCGCGAAATGCCTCTGGAACGCCTTTGGACCCCTGTAACGAACAAATATCATCATTAGCTACCTTAAAAATGCAACATCTATAATGACGAAATCCCAAATTTTAACTAAGCGAAAGACAAAAATTATTATTCCAATATTGGTAAGTGACGCATGAGAAAGATACAGTAAACATGGGATGACTGCCGACAAACTTTGTTTTAACACGAACAACTTGTGCATTCTTGTCGTGGAAAACGTCTATTTCACCCCTTTGAACTCGGTAGGATACATTGTGTAGAATATTAAGAAAAAAAGTTCAGCGGAAAACTCCTCTACGCATAAAATCAAAATAAAAAATCAATGTCCACTGATTATCAAATATTGTACGTTGCTCAAACCTGTAAGTGAAGTTGCCACATATCTCACAGCTGTAGCTTATATTCAGCCCGTGCAACTTATACAGCCAATATGGAATAGGCTAGAAAATAAAAACATTGAAAACACCACCGTCAGTACATCCATAGAGTAGTCTAGAGTTTAGCATCATGCATGAGCAAGATGTAAGGCAAAGGAGGTACCTTTCCATCCCATCCAAGAGGTAAATTTTTAGGATTATAAAGGACGGTTTCCTCATCATCAGAATCTGACTCGTGGCCCTCTTCATGCTCTTCTTCTTCCTGTTGAAAACATTTAAGATGCTATAAATTTGCGAAGCAATTTTATACTGAGCAGAACGTAATCTAGGGTTGTGCTTGTTTTACTTCACTGTTATTGGTCTACAAACGCCCTGTCAACCAATCAGATTCAAACAAATCATGACTTGGTGATCCACGTTTTAGTTCGAACATGCAAGGATAATCTTGACCATTACTGGCCGTGGTCATGCCTAATTTGGACTGGCTTTCAGACCAGATGTAAAACGAAAACCAATGGTGACTTAATCATCCACGTTTTCTCGCGCTTCAATAAGCTCCCTATTTTTTCTTCGAGTTCTCATTGGCTCCTGGCGAGATTCTCCTTTTTTTTGTTGGTGAAGGTGTGACGACTTCGGTTTAGGTTTTTGCGACACTCGGACCGAAAATAGCCAAATATTTTACTTATAAAGATGGCTTGATAAAGTTCAATTACAAATAAGAATGGTCTTATTTATATTTTAGTTTTGTAGAAGAAGAACCTTAAATGGCAAGATTTTACTCGCATATAATGCAAAATTCATTTTTTAGCGCAAACATTTACCTCCAATTCATCGGACGTGCGTGCTTGCTTTCGCTCAACATTCTCCCTTGTGGCTTGTCTCTGTTCCTGTCATGAAAAATCGCAAGACGTATCAATTATGCTAGCTTATGTATTAATATTTTGCCATGGCATGAGGGTTTTATGCCAAAGCATTCAAAACCGAGCATAAATTTTAATCCTCGATTTGCATAAACCACCTTCTGTACCATTGGCTCGAGGCGTAGTGTTACTAAAACGGGTATATTATAGTGAAAAACCATGTGGCTGAAGTCGAAACTACCCTTTTTGTTGAAAATATGCCGGGGAAAAAGGACTGTGTTGACTTCATAGGCAGAAAACTTCATTTTTATAACCGGTAGACTTTAAGGAAAATCTGACGGAGTTACTTGTAAATAAAAGGTACTACACTCGAGCCCAGTGACCCATCAAGCTGGAGCTCATCCCGGTTTCTGTGCCATGAAGCTACAAAGGATGGTAGTCCATTGCAAGGTCACCCCCAGCATTTCATCAGGATTCCTTCACAATTCGCCGGTATCCATTTACACTCCTGGGTGGAGACAAGCACTGCGTTTCCCACTAGTAGTTACCTGTAATGAGTTAAAAACCAATCCACGAGAGGGCATACTCCTATAAGCTTTATGTAAAGTTGTAGGTCGCATGGCCTCTAAAATGTAACCCTGGTAGCGATAATCTCAATGTATTCAATAAACGATCATTTTCACACTCACTCCAAGAAGCTCTGTTAAGTGGTAAACCTGAGCCTCAACAGCTGCGATGTCTTTTTGTTTCTGTGCGTTATCTCGCCCTTTGCCAGCTCTTGATTTCGCAAAAAATGATGGATCCAGTTGATCTAGTGGTACTCCTGATTAAAAAACAATAATAAACGCGTGTTGAGTCCATTTCAGATATAAAGCTGAGTTTAGCTTGCTATTGCAGAACAAGAGGGTTGGTTGGTTTACCACATCTACAGTATATGCTGTCATGAATACTGCAGCATACGTACATTAAAGTTACCACAAGAAAATGTATCTTCACAAAAGACAGCTACCAGTAAATGTATGTAAAGCAGCTCTTAGAGAAATCTTTACCTTTTGTGCTAAACAGTCTTTGTGCTCTATCCTCGAGTGTCCTGTAACAAATTGAAAAAAAATTAATGCTAATAATAATGATGATAATAATAATAATAATAATAATAATAATAATAATAATAATAATAATTACAATAATAATAAAAAACAAATGAATTGTTTCAATTTAGACTACATGTACATCACAAGGAGCCAAACAGAATTTAAATTGTAATATTACATGTAACAAAGGAGCCAAACAGAAGTTTTTAAATTGTATATTATATCAATTGGGTAACCAGTTCTAGACCAATGGCACAGAGAAAGAAAGCTGGACTACTTTTCCCTGCTAATGATATCAAGTATAACATTGTGTGACCAGTTAGCAATACTTACCCTCCACATTTCAAACCTAAAGCTTGCAAAGCTTGTTTCAGTCGATCCAGTCCCAAGGAAGCCAGTTCCTTTTTGAATTGATATAAATACATTTTGATAAGTAACAGTAACTTACAGTTATTAGACTTTCTACCACACTATTGACAGTCTGGTGATTCCCCAAACTTCCTACATGTAAAATTCTTTACACTTTGTTGGACCTGTTCAGCGACACTTGCCTAGGCCACTGTTCACTCCCCCTTGCTCTGACATTCAGAATGCATTTCTGAATGTCAAAATGCATTTCTGAAAGAAGAGATGGATTTGAGGTCCATCAGAAACTGAACATACTCTCACTGTACCCTGGTCAAAAAAAGATTTAAAATGGCTTATGTGGCTCACTGTAGAGTCTCAGTGGCTCAATGATAGTCAGTGGGAGCATTAAATTCAATGGTCTGAGGTTCAATTCCTCTAGGGAACTCAGTGTAATTTCTTATTCCCACACTTGAGACATTTTTCCTTTAAGAGTTATGACTCGATTTTGTTTTCAACTTTGATAACCATACATGTACCTCTGGAGATGAAAAGGCAGACAAGTCAAGATGGGCTCCAGAATGAGCTAAGGCACTGCTTGCATCTTTCTGCAAATGATAAAAAACAAAACTCACTGTTTGTGATAATCACATGATTGTATATCATTGCAATCCAAATGTACAGTATGTAGTAGATTTTTTGTTGAGGAAATCACAAATAGGAATTTGAAATGGAATCAGTTTTGGCCAAATGGTGAGAGTTTAATGGAGTGAGTTGTTGGATAAGAGAAGCCTTGCTCACAAATTGTATATGTTCCATAAATCCCACTCATGGAAATATTAAAATTGTGTAATGTAGGTGCTTTATTCTTACCATCCATCCTGGAAAGGTTCCTTTTGACCATTGTTCTTCAAATGCTGACATAACTTTCTCCAGTTCCTAGAGAAGATCAAAATGTGAATTACCAGACAAATTGAAGGATCGCAAAAAGACTGTGTTTGTATTCAGGCAGCCAAGCAAGAGACTTTGGCCAAACCTCCCCTTCCTCCCCCCCTCAAAAAAAAAAAAAAAAAAGGTGGGGGAAGGAGAAGGGGAAAGGCCCACAACACATTTTCATGCAGAAGATATTACAAGCACAGCATTGCAATTGGCTAGGTTTAATATTCAGTCTCTCAAATAATTTCATTGGGATTGCACTCGGTTAAATCAAATCTAGGACTTCTTTTTAACAAATTTTAACTTATAAAGACATAAGTTTGCAATTATTATTAATTAACCTATACAAAAAGACTGACTAAGAACCTACCCCTTCCAGGTCATATAGAGGTAAAACCCTATGTGTATAATCATACAGATAGTCCAGAAGAGCTTCAATATACCTAAGAGACCAAACATCATACACCCAAGTTAAAATCACAAAATAACTTCCAGGAATGTACAGAAGGTGTCTTAATGGAACCACCTCTATAACTGTTATCAGTGTCATTTGCATCACCAGCAATTATTTTCATAGATCATTCACATGTATACTTGTGATAGAAGCAAACCCAAAAACTTAAACAAAATTCTTATGAGGAAGATTTTCATAGGTTGGGAAGTGGTTCCTGTGATTCTTCAGCCATACGCTTTGAATAACAAAGTTTTCTTGAATATGTCAGTGGTTGGACGAAACACTAAAACAAAGGAATATCCTCTGGAAGTTGATCGAACTCAACACTATTTGTTTTCTACCCGCCTTGCTCCTCACAATACTTCATTGGATCTGAACCCATCAATATGTCCTTAATATAAAGTGGATATGGTTTGAAATTGATTCTCTTGTCTTCTCACTATGCAATTAATGAGGTATCCAGTCACTGGCAGTTCAACTGGCCAAAGCCAACTCGCCAAGTGTGAAATCGAGTAGAAACGTCGGCAAGTTGGTCTTCAATCCAGTACAACTTATTAGAAGATAGACCTATAGAAAAGTAAATGATATTTTGTGAAGAAACAATTTTGTTTTTAGGGATTTCAAGGCGAACAAAGCAAGGTGAATATCGCCAATGACCCAAAAAGCTTTAGGTGCGAACGAGTTATTGTGTGACAACCATAACAACCAGGCAGAACAACATGTTTTTTTAACTTTAAAGAATGATTTATTTATGATCCAGAACATTTGATTTACGATAAGATTTGATATATTATAAAGATCAAGTGAACATGTGAAAGCTATGCATATCATGCAATTATTCTGAAGGTCCATTTAATCTCGACATCAATTCCAATAATTGAGCAGCTGTCTTTTCACCATTCTCATATTTCACACAACAACTTATTCACATCTAAAGCTTTTTTGGTCATTGGTGATGTTCACCTTGCTTTATTCACCTGGAGATCCTTATAAACTTTGTTGGAAATAAAAAGTTTTTTTTTGTTTAGAAAGCCAAGTTTTTTTAAAAAAAACTGACCGATTGACATGATGAGTCTTCACAGTGTTGTTGTCACACAACAACTTGTTCGCGTCTGAAGCTTTTATATTCATTGGCAATGTTTACTTTGCTTTATTCGCCATGAGACCCTTATAAACTTTGTTGAAAGAAAACAAAATTGTTTTTTTCACTAAATATCTTTTACTTTTCTATATGTCTATCTTCTAATAAGTTGTACTGGATTGAAGACCAACTCGCCAACATCTCTACTCAATTTTACACGTCTGCGAGTTGGCATTGGCGATTTGAACTGTTGGCGACTTGACCATAATTCATTGATGATAATTGTGTTTGTTTCTAAAGGCTACACTTTTCAGTCTTATTAGCAGTCAGTATGGGGTGTAAATGAAAAAGAAATCAAGAAAGTCAAACATTTAAGGTTATCATAATCCTAACAGGCTAGGGCTAATCAGTTGGCTCTATTTAACCCTTCACAGCCTAAAATCAGAATGCATATTCTCCATACTGTTCTCTGAACATTTCCTAAGGAGCTGACAAGGAGAATTTGTTTAATAATAAAAAGCTTCTTTGGTTGATGATCATTTACTTTATTCTCATGACCTTAATATATGATTCTAGGGCAATATTGTCAGGAGAAATTAGATGCTAGTCACTTGTGGGAGTCAAAGGCTTAAAACTAAACAAAGAAGTTTAACTTAGACCACTAAAAAACCAAATCTAAGTGGAGAGAGGGTCTCCAAACATCAAATCCACAATGTGTAAACATTCTTAGAACCAGATTCATACATCAAAGATTCAAATGATCAACTCACCTTCTATACTCTGGGTTTTTCTTTTCTTTTGCAATATCAAACAGTCTGTCAAATGTTTCTAGGTAGGTTAGGTAATCGATGCGCTGTAGAATGCCAAAGAGCAGCATTAAAATGTCTTTAACAGATGTGGACAAAACATAAGTGTGCAAAAAAGAATCTTGATGTAAAATGCATATTCATGATGTATACAGTGGTAACTGACACTATGCTCTCTAATTGAATCACAAGCCCACCTCTACTCCTCTCAAGTTTAGAAACTTGTCATACAGTTCATGCAGGTCCAAGTATTTCCCATATCCTTCTTCATCTGTAAACTCTACAACATCTGGATAGAGAAAAATAGTAATTTAAAGAACCAAAGTATGTATGATAATGAAACAGATTTGGCCATAGCTGATCACTGCTGTTAAAAACATGTAATTTAGAACCTTTCTTACAATTTAGATTACTTTTTCAAATTCTAAATTAGCAGAACACAAGTCACATTCATCATTAGTAACACTCACTTTGCATTTCATCTGTTGGATTATCACGTGCCTCCTTGAGCTTCACAAATTCCATCTGCATTGGTTCTGCAACCTGGAGAAAAAAATACGACAATTGACAGAGAAATGTTGCAGTTATATTTCAACTGCAGTTGAAATAAAAAAAATACTTGAAATTGCAGACTAAGATACTGCTAATGTACTCCTGAAAAAAAATCATCTCTAACACATTGTCTGTTTCTCAAGTGTTAGAGAAGAAACATTCTTTGAATGAATTGAACCTGCTGTGTCCCGTTTAAGTATTTTGACAATCGGATCTTTCTTCACTTCTTTCATTTGAAAACAGTAGAATTTATTGACATGTAGTTTTTCAAAAAGGAATTACATGTAAGCAGCAGCAGTACTCATGACTGCACTCTCTTGACAGAAAATAATGTGGTCCCAAAGGAATCTCTGGTTTCAAGAATTGACTCTACACATGCACATCAGGTAAACTTTATTGAAGTTTACCTCATTTGGGAATTTTCTGTGATATTCCTTTAGACTCCTGAGTCGGGCATAAAACTCTGCAAACTCATTAGGTCCAGACAAAGCTGAAACTTCTTCTTTGCGTAAACTACAAATCAAAGGTGTCTCAAGTTTAATGTAAACATAATAAGTATTTCCTGGACAAAATTACAATATCACAGATTTGAAACAATGTCACTCTGCATTGGAATTAACTCACCCATCCTTATCCTCATAAAGGCTTGAAAGTGTCTCTGCATTTAAAGCTGATCGCTTTATACATGAAAAAAAAAAGGGAATCAATATAAGGGGGGCATTTGAACAAGTGAAGAAATTATCCTTATAGGCAAGCTGCAAAGTTGTAAAACAGATTCATGAGAATATTGGACATAATTACAATCACAATCACAATCCAAATTATCATCTGAAAACATACAACTACCCTGTATCTACCGCAAAGAAGGCTGGACAATCCTCTTGCAAGATACAATATCAAATGCACTTGATGTTTTCAAACTGCGCTATGCTAACTTGTCCCACACATTGAGATTTTGGAATAGATTTTTTCCTCTCTTTGATCACAAAAGTCAAATATATTCATGTATCATGTTATAAGCTAGTTTTGTAAAGCTTAGCTGCTAAATAACAATAATAATTATTAACTGGATGAATGAGTTATCCAACCATTGAACCAGAGAAGACATACAAGTAAAAATCAAGGTAAATGTCAAACAACAACAAAAATTTTAGTTAAAAAAAACTGTTAAAAAATAATAATTAAGTGCTTTGTTCTTATAAAAGGCATGATCTACATGTAAATATGCAAAATGAAACAAAACCCTCAAACCAGAATTTTGAGAAAAGACGAGCTTGGAAATTCGTGCTATTTTTGAAAATCTGTGTTGTTAAAAAAGTGCATTAAAGCACTGACCTAACACTCTAAGATGCTGACGCAAAACAAATGCCGACCTGGGAAAATTTTGTTATCTCAAATGTGACTAATTAATATTCCTAGAAAAATGGGACCAGAGAAGCAATTCAGGAAAATTGAGCAACAGATAATCGAGGTTTGACAACTAAGCTATGATCCAACAAGTTCAGCTGTTACACTGTAGAAAAACTCTCATTTACCTCCAATAAAATCTTCACTTGATGATCAGAATTAATCTGTTCTTTTCCCTGCAAAGATAAAAAAGTTATATATTTTTAGGGTGTACAAGCGTGTTAGAATCGTTTTGTTTTGTTTTGAAACATTTTCCTCTCAGGATACCCGCAAAACACAAACCCTAGGATTAATGCTGGCAGTTCACCGTAATTCCTTATTTGTATCTCTGAGGGGAACAAATCAATTCAGAATCAATTACAAGCTCTGCAGGGCAACTAGATGTAGTGTTCCAAGCATCGTATAGGATAGCGCAGAAGCACTGTGAAGCTAAGTTAAATAACTTTACTCAGGGCTACTCCTTGAGTTACCAATCATTTCCCCTACAAAACTTATAATCCTTGCATAGTAAAGAGAAATTGTTTTCAACCGTAAGCAAATCAAAGCACGGTTAATTAGTAATTGTAGGCGACTTTTTACCAATTGTTTCTTGTGCAAAACTTCATCTGCCATGGCATTTTCCAATCTTTCCCTTTCCTCGTGAAGTCTCCTTTGCTGCTCTAAGAGATTCTCCATAATTTTCTACTTAGATGTCACGTTTGACGAAATCAAACCTTCATAACTCCTGACAGAGCCTCCACATGTAGACAACTAACAAAATGGCGTCAATGATCACGAGCCGACAGAAAGAACTTCCAGCGGTATCACAGAAAACCACGTGTCTGAAATTCCTTACTGTGATTGGTTTGTTAAGGACCGAATTTTAAGTCTTACGTAAAAAATACAAAAGTAATCTATCAATATAATGGATTTTGTTTTTGGAGAACTTTGAACACATGGACTCGTGTGAACAGACGTAGTGTCTGGCTGATATGTACTCGATGCTTTCAAACTTTGTTTTCCTATCAATTATTTACCAATCAGTTGTTGCTGAAGGCACCAGTTAACTCTCAAGGAATTTGTATTGGATAGGCACACCTCACAACGTAGTAACCTCAATGGCTGAATCAAATCAAGATGCGTTGTCCATCGAGGCATTTCGAGCGAAGAAAGGTACGGAATTCTTGTGTTTTTGATATATCTGAAAGATAATCTTTGCGAAGATTAAAATGATATGCTGTTAATTTCTATTTAGCAGCCGGATCGCTGGGATCTGCCAGTAAATCAACAGACAGGCATCCACGCAAAGCTACTGCTAACTCATCAAATCCCCCCACTTCAAACTCAACATCGGCGCTATCAAGGTCAACAAGCGCAAGCAGAGCAAACTCAGCGAAGCGATCTGTGTCAACTGAAAATTTAAGTTTACAGGTAGGTAGAGATCCTCCTCCTTTGGATGAGAGACAGGAAAAGGTCAAGCTCCTCCGAGAAAAACAGGCCGAGGAGAGGCGGAGAAAGAACGAGGAACGGAGAGCGGCGTTTGAAGAAAGAAGGCGGAAAAAGGAGGAGGACGAGAAGGAAAGATGGACTACGATGAAGGACCAAGCAGCCAAACAAAAGACTAATTCAGCACCTCTAAAACCAGGCACTGGTAGAAAACTGCCAACTTTACCTCAAGAAGGTAGTGCTAAGCGACCAGGCAGTGCTGTAGAGCGCCCATCCTCTTTACCGAAGCCATTGGCGAGACCCTCAAGTGCTGTAGCTGCTAAGAGTCCTTCTCGTAGTAGTACTAGCGCTGACAGCTTATCTAGTGGTTCAACACCTAAAGAATCTCCTGCCACCACCCCTAGTGGTTTGCAACCAAAAAAGCCTCTAGGGGTCAGTAAGTCTGTGTCGGCAAGTAATTTGAACAATGCATCTGTAGAGAATCGAAGGGGTAGCAGTGGCTCTTTACCTCAAAGGCCATCATCTGGCACAAAGCCCAGGACACGGTCAACATCAACACATTCTTCAGTCTTGACACTAGATAAGCAGAATGCTAAAAACAATAAAAGTCAGGAATCACTGTTGCCAGGAGGAAAGCTCACCAAATCTCACTCTACTAGTTCTATTCACAGGGTTGGTGCAAATAAAACTACTTCTGAGAAAAGCCAAAAGACTGAAACAAAGCCTAAAGCTGGTATCACAGATGAAGCAACTGCTAAACAGGCTTTGGCAGAGAGGAGAAAGAAGGCAAGAGAAGAAGCAGAAAGACAAGCTGCTTTGGATAAAGAGCGACAGGAAGCAGAGAGGTTGAGAAAAGAAGAAGAAGACAGGAAAAGAGCAGAGGAAGAAGCCAAAGAAGAAGCAAGGATGCGTGAATTAGCTGAGCTTTTACGCAAGCAGGAAGAAGAGAGACTGCGGATAGCAGCAGAGGAGAAAGAGAAGCATGATCAAGAAGAAGCAGAAAGGGCTGCTGCTGAGAAGAAACGTAAAGAAGAAGAGGAGCAGAAAGCAAAAGAAGAGGAAGAAAGGAAAGCACAAGAAGAAGAAGAAAGACGAAAAAAGGAGGAAGCTGCAAGACTGGAGAGAAAAAGGGTAAGAGGTGATCATATAAATTGAAAATTGAGGCATGTGAGTAAATTCAATAAATTTTAGAGAATCAATTTGTTAAATTTTGTACATGCTGTTTTGCATGCTCTGTATTTCCAAGTTAAAGAAGACTGACATGTCATTCTGTATGTATCACTTTTGGCCACAAGCTGATTACATGCACTGTTTCATTTGTAATTGCAAGTTTGAAATAGTACAATAATAGTTCTAATGGTATTGTGGTTATGATCTGGAAATGCTGGGCTTGCACAGCAGTGGTACCAGTTTGATTTATTGACTGTGCCTGAAAATAACCAACTGATAGTGTTTCACACCAGACAAAGGTTTCATCCTTATGTTTAATTGTTTTTTCTGATGAACAAATATATTTTGAAGTGCATTTTAAACAAATATTAAATTTGTACCATTTTTGTTCTTAAAATCATTCTTATGGAATAACTCTGCACATTTTTTAATTGCTATTGCAAGAGAAACATACTTCACACTACACAGTGACTGACTGAGTGTGAAGTCTGGAATGTACATGTTTGCTTGAGGTCATGACCCATCACGATAGGTCCATTTTTAATGCCCTTACATTCTCTTCGTCTTGTAGGACAGCATAAAGGACCTTGCAGCTTTTTGTGGCTGTGCTTAACAAATTGTGTATGAACCATATACCTGTTTTTTTGTATTATTATTATTATTATTGTTATTATAATTGTTTTTTGTTTTTTCTGATAAAAGTGCCCGCAAGGCAGTATGGCCCTTGATATAATGTTTAGTACTTCAAGTGATATAAATCTTGTTTAATTCATAGTCCTTGGTGATTAATGTTAACTTTGGCTGATGTAATTCTTATGCACAACTGAAGCTTAAATGTGTTTTCTCTATTTCAGCGAGTAGAACAAATTATGAGCCGTACAAGACAAACAGCAAGTCCTGTCACGACAGAGGAAAGCAATACTTCTGCTGCAGTAAGTGTTGGTTTAATCCTTTAATCCTTTGACCCCCAATGAAATTCTCCCCATAATGTCTCCCCTGAGTGTAGGTCACCCCTGAGCATCCACACAAAGATCTGTTTAGGCAGGGCGTGAAATTGCGCTTAATACAGGTGCCAATGTGACTAAATTTTTCGCTTTGGTGACCAAATCCTGAAAATTAGTTGTCAAATTGGCTACTAGGTAAAGTTCATCATGACCTTACCAAGGGATATAATGAATTAAAAGATTTGCAAAGATAAATCCGCGGCAAACTTCCTTGTTAAGTTTGTTTCCAAAATGCAGCACATGCATCTCGATCAATAACAAGACACCATCTTGGATTTAGGTGAGCTTGAATGTTGTATATTATCCATCCTAGTGTTCACTTTGTAGCACGTTAAAGATCTTGTCCCTAACTTAATTTTGGAGGGTCTATTTATAACACTGACAGCGTAAAAAAAAGTTTTGTTTATCTTTGAAAATGGCGACCAACTTTTTTTTAATTGGCTACCACTTTAAAGAATTTAGGAGCCAAGTGGCTATCAGAAAAAAAAATTAATTTCATGCCCTGTTAGGGAGTTTTGTTTTTGAAGGAGTACTAATCTCAAGAGATTTTTGTCTCTGCCACTGAATAATAATGTATATAGTAAACAGAAGTATAGCACTGGCTGTGTTTTGAGATTCTAAAGGGTAAATTAGCCCTTTTAAAAATTACATGTAGCTTTGAATTTGCAAAAACTTCAACTTCAGAGAACACCATTTTGAATCTTGCAACAGCAACTTGGCCATATGTGATCTTGGCAAGCAGTTTAAACAACAAGGAGCTACACTAAAAGGAATTCTTAACTTGAAATACTTTTTTTGCCCTAACCATACACTTGTGTAATCTCCATAACAAAAGCTCTCACACTTTCTAATTATGTTTGAATGTTAGTATTTTGATCACTGTAACTTTACTTCAATTCTCACCCCAATTTTTGTCATTGAATTTTAGCAAGAGGCAGTAGATCCAGAAGATACTAAAAGAAAAGTTAATGAAATCCTCCAGAAAGTCAAAAGTCAAAGTGCAATGCCCAATCAGATGGAAAACAGTTCTTCCTCGTTGGTTAACAGTGCTGAAGAACCATCACAAGAGGGCAATAATGAGTTGGATACTGTAGGAACAGTGAATGTTACATCAGACAATACATCGATGGATACATCAGGCAACTCCTCAGCTGAATCAACTTTTCAGCCTGTTCATGTCAATGGAGTCCATGCTTCTGGTTTAGATGATTTGCATAGTGTATTAACAAATGATGATGATAACGAGGAGCATGTGTCGTCTACACTTCCTTTGATAATAGTGGAACATGAGACTACGTATGCAATAACTACAAATAGAGTGACAAGTAATGAGCATGAAAAAGAGAACATTTCAAATCAAATTAATGATGGGTCATCAACAATACAGGAATGTACGATCAATGGGTCACAACAAGTGTCTGAAAATGATGAACTACGCGACACAGAAAACACTGTGGTAAGTTGGGTGTCCTTGTAACAATTAAGTTTTAAATTTAACAAAAATGCTGGATAGCATACTTGGAATGCACAATTCTTGAAATAAATTATATATTTGTTAATTTGTTAATTATATCACCCAGCATACTTTATATTTGTGCAAAAATTTTATTTTATTTCATTACCTGTCAAGGCATGAATTAGCAGTTGGTAAGCTGTTTTGGCGTATATTTTTCTCTAATTTTTTTTAGAAAGATGAAGCATGTAAAATTTTATTGCACAGGGTTGCTATCATATTTAAAAGAAGTCCTCAAACTTCCAAGTTCTGAAAAGTATATATATATTTCTCTTAGCTTTGTACCAAATCATTTGTTTGCTAATCAAGAGAATTTGTTTGGATATCTTAAAATAATATCCCTGCCTGTTTACATGATAGAGTAGTGCAGTGTACTCCAAGATTGAACTTGAACTTGAATTAGTTAGTTTGCTTTAGACTGAGTAGATTTTTTTCTCTTTTTTTCGTGTCTACAAGAGGCATGTTCCTGAAACCAGACAAGAAATTACTTCAAGTAATTCAGGATCTTTAAGTAAAGATTTAAATGGTGTGGAGGATGAGGAGGTGCTCTGGCAAAAAATAGAGGCTACCATGAAAGCAAGGCAGTCCTATGCAGTCGAGACCCTTGAGAATCTGGGTGTGGTTGCCGAAGGTGATGAGGATGACGACAGTGAAGAAGGACAGCTATGGAAAATAGTTGAAGGAAAGGCAAAGCTAGCAGAGGTTGTGTGACAATAAGACTAGTAAATTAAGACTCTATAGTAATGATGGGATGCAAGATGTCCCAAGTTTTTTTTTTTTTTTTTTTTAATGTAACTTAAAGGAGCTCAGTTAATGAAGATATGGCGTGTACAAATTAATTTTAAAGCAAAAATTTGTGAATTCTTCAAGTTTATTTTAAGTTCTGTTCTTACAAAATGTTTTTAACAAAAAAGACACAAAATTTTGAGTGACAAATATGTGATGACATTGAACTGAGAGGTAAAATAGTGTGTTTTTATCAAACAGCAGATAAATACAAGGAGCAGGGAATTAAATTTATTATTTTAGCCATTTTTCCAGTTGTTGGCAAACACCTTTGTAAGCATAGAGGATTGTGGCATCATTTCTGAGACTTAGATCCCTGTTATTTCTTTTAAGTATTTCTTAATTTTTTAATTAGTTTTAGTCTCTTGTTACAGCTTGTTTGTGGTTTTATCTCATCTGAAACTCTTCAATTAATTCCAAGAATGGTAAAGACTAGTTGAACAGAACTGAGCCTGTTAGACTTCAGACTCTATAGCATAAATGGAAAAAAATACTGACAGAAGCACCAGCTATTATTTATGATAAAGAATTATTTACAGTTAATGAAAGTAAACTTTAAGGTATTCAGTTATAATTAATCTGGGCGGAGACTAAAAAGTGCAACCAAGAATGTTTCAGTGAGTTTCTTTACTAAGGTTCAGTTTTTTTTTCATTTAAAATTAGGAAGTGGGTTTGGCCCCAGTGTAATCTGAACCAACCAAAAAGTACTGGCCCCCTGTTAAAACTTTGTTATTTTTGCCATGTCTATGATTTGCAACCTCACATGATTATTCTTGGGTCTTAGTTAATTTACAGTAAAAGTATTTAAGAAGGCAAGTTGTGGTGTTGATTGTTGCTTTTCAAATAACACAACTTGGTTAAGGATATATTTTGATGAAAGAGGCAGAAAATGAGGTCTTCAGAGAAGTAGCAGTATGCTTCTTTCTCAACCAATGAATTGTGTAAATTGAAAGGCATCTAGCTAGTTTCATTGCAAGCATTTTTAAGACTCCTGAAAATCTTTTAGCTCATGCAGTTTTGATATCGTATTTATTGTGCTGCAGGCAGCGAGTTTTACAGAGCTATCATGTAGAAGTGTTCAAATGACATTGCTCCCTTTTGCACGGAGATTAATGTTAATGAGAAGAAGTTGACTCATTCTCTTAAGAATCACTTTAAAATTCGAAACCTTGTTGTGGGTTAATTTCTAAGAGTCTGCAATCTGCTCTTTGCTAGGAAACGAGAATGATTGACCCTGTGTAACTTTTCTTATGCCCAAACCTCGCATGAATTTTGTTGTTTTTTTAGTTTGATTTGTTGGTTGTTAGTTTGTTGTCAGCTTGTTTGATTGTTTGTTTTTCTCATAAGCAGTTGTGTTGATGACAAAAAATTTAATTCTGATTAATAACAGTGAAGTCTTATGCTTTTTAAGGAAATTCTTTTATATAGTATTTTTCTTGTTGATAAATACAGCAGTAACATAGTCTTAGTTAGGAATGGTAAATAAAACAAGTAAGAAAGTGATTGCTAATCTTTTTTTGGGTGTGTTGCTCTGTGTTATCAGATAAAAGTGAAATCTAATTTGAATTAATTTTAGTTAATTTTACTTAAAAGTCTTGCATGAGAGTGAGTAGGAAATATCAAGGTGTAGACTGTCTCACTGCTATGCTTCATCCTGCTTCCTAAATAACCCTATACAGGCTGATGGGGGGGGGGGTTAATTTATCCATGTTATTCTCCTTAGGATATAAATCAGGCACATAGCTAGGATTTTTCAAAGGAGGAAAGGTCAAACTGTGACAACTAGGTACCTTCCCTATTGTCAAAAGCCATGCAGTGTTTTACTAAGAGTGATATTTGGTTGGAAGAGCAGTGATTCGTACTGTGCAGATTCTTTGAATCATGCAGTTTTTTTTTCTAATCTGTCAAAGGGTTGGAAGATCAAGGAAACCTTAGGGCCCCCTCCAAACAATGCTTCCCCCCCGTGAATTCTGCATAAAGATATGATAACAACTGAATGCCTTTCATTCACAAAGATTGATCTCCCTTACTGTGAGGGTATTTTTAAATTCGTTATTCCCTTAAACAGGAAAGTAACGTGAGTGTCTTATTGAAATTTTTTTAAAGGTATTGCTTTTTTTTTCTTTAACAGAAAAAGTTAATACCACTTACTCAAGGTATTCCAATTCAATCCATTCAACTCAAAAAGTAACTCTTGCATGCATAACACGCCTTCTTCTGGGAGTTTCCCCGACATATGACAACTAGTCTCTAGCGTGCGTATGCATGCGAATTGTCGGAAAAGGACGAGAAAAGCGGTTGAGCAGTTCAGGCGCAGCAGGGCTTAGGCTTAAGGATTAGGAATTCGGGAATCAGGTTGGGTTTCGGGGGTTGGGATACGGGATATGTTTGAAGGATTCAAGACTTGGCAATCAGGATAAGGGATTCGGAATTAAAGGGACGGGATGCGGATGCAGGATTAGAGATGCGAGAACAGGGCTGCGGAATGCAGAAATAGGGGTTTGGGTCTAGCTACTGGTTGGGGTTGGAGTTCGGTTTAAGGTTAAGATTTAGGGGAATAGGACTTAGTTTTAGAGTTTAGGGTAAAGAAGTGGGGATTTGCTTTAGGGATTCGGGATTAAACATTAGCTTAGTGTTGCAGTTTAGTATTAGGGACCCTAGCTTTTGTGCGCCACACTTCCAGAGGTCCGTGCGCGGCCCGCTAACATCAACTTTTTTTCTCTAATTTTTTTTTTTTTACTTCGGCGAAAGCAGGGACTGCTCGTATTCTAACTCGTTCCTCGTTGCGCCTGACTCGTTTCCAGTTTCTCACCGCTCGTTTCGGTGTAAGCAACAACAACAACAACACTATCGCGAGATAAATTCGATCCCCATTTTAAACTTGACGTGAAAAATGCTCATAGAACTAAGTCCTCTGTGGAAAGGCAAGAAATATCACGAAAGTCATATTCCAAAGGCTTGGATTTTCTCATCAATTCTCTCTTTTTTCTTTTCTATTTTTTTTAGTTAAACACTACGCACTGCTCACTGCTCAACCACATCTGCAAGTGTGCACGTGGATAGAAACGTGACATTTCACAAGTTTTGAAGGTTTAAGGAATAAAATGTATTTCAGAAGCGTTTTAGCTGTAGAACTTCATCAGTTTACGGCGAGTGTATGAAAATTATTTTTTTTGTTGTTTTTGTTTTTTTTTTTCTGCAGCATGTACAGGAGGCTGGGAGAATTCTCAAAATTTTTGCAAACCGAATGCGTTTCACCGAATTCTCATAAAATAATTACATAACATGTTGAAAGCACGATCACAACGGCCTGAGAGCTGAACATATGTATCAGGCACATATCTCTTTGTTACTCTGCTCTTTCCTCGAGACATAACACGATGTTTGTTGACATCACAATGCGTATATTTCTTTTCATACTTTTTTTCCTATTTCCTTTATGACATTAGAGGACATCTGTTCACATGATAATAGCCATTTTTATTTCCTATACTTTTTCAATTTTTTTTCGTGTCCTTGCACGCAATATTCAGTTATTCATTTCAATTATTCCGATGAAAATGTTATCGCAAATTTTTGCAATCGGGATTTATTGATTGATTTTGTCACTGATGATTGGAGGAGTAAAAGGGCAATTAAAAAATCTGATTCGCCGAAGTGATTTTGTAAACGAAGACGTGGAAGTTGAAAACTCACCAAGTATATTGGTAAATATTCAAATATCATTTTTTTTTTAATTGACTAAACAAAGCAAATTATGGTCTTCAGAATAGGTCCATCAACAATAATGGACCATTTGTTTGAAGTTTTCCTGTGTGACGCCTTCAGAAAACGCGTTCGGAGAATTCTTGAATTTTCAGACCCTATGTTAGACAAATATATGGCAATTTCCTCACCCATTTTCAGATCAAGTCTCCAAACACCATTCCCCTCTCGCAGGATTAGTTTAAGAGAGTTTTTCGTCGTTTACAAGTCCTCAACAGTGAGGTAAATGATGGTTTTAATTATTTTGTTTTGTTGTTTGGTTTTTGTTGGAGTATACACCACCGGCAAGGTATTATTCTGGCAAATAAGTTTCAACACTCTGGTGGTTCCCTTTACAATCATACCCGACGTATGGTCAATGCAAACCCTCGAAAAAATGACTCAAAGACCATACCGTTCAAAACAGCGCTTAGAGGGAAATTTATAGCATTTTGAATGGAGCGTTCCCCCGGTTCTTTTTTGTTTTCTAGCAGTTCGTAAATTAATAGTAGGTATTAATAATCCCTTTTGAAGTTTATTTGAATTAGCTTACTTTTCTTCCAATCCGTTTGGAGGGGAAGAGTTGTTTCCTGGTCAAATACAATGCGCCTGAGGAAGGCAACTTAACGTCTAACCAAATTAGAAAAGTCTATTGTAATCTTCGCCCTCAATGAGTCAAGACGTACTTTCACTTCACTTGTGATATTGCCTTGAACGCGGTATATTTTCACTTCCCCAGGTGTTAACTTCGCTACACGGCTTATCCCTTTATGCCAAGGTACCTTATCATTCCACGCGAACACACTTAACTTGGTCAACTCGTGGAATCGCACTAAAACTGGCATTCGAAATGCGCGTCGGACACGACACTTATAATACGTCGTTGGCAAAAAAGGGTGACTTTGACCACTATGGAATGACACTGATAGAAGTGATGTCCCTGACAGCATTCAGTTGCGTTATATGTATGATTGGAACGCTCTCGAATGTTCTCTTGACGATCGCTGTTCTTCTGACGAGAGAGCTGCGAAAGAGATATACGGCGGTTTTCTTGATCAGCATGTCGGTGACAGACACCATCATCTGTGCGGTTTACGAACCGATGTATATCTACGACATCAATCATGGATCTAGTGCTGTCATGGAGAAGGTCCGTTACAGACTTGGATTCTGTCTTCTCTTGGCATCGTTGAACGGTCAGTTGACCGTCACGCTGGACCGCTTCATCAACATCTTCTACCCTTACCAGTATATTGCCTTGACAAATACGAGGTTTGTCGTTCTGTCCGCGTTCTTTATTCAGTGGTTCAATGCAATACTGCTGACCCTGCTTAGCCTTCTGACAAGCAGGCCCGTTTTCAGTGTAGTTTACGTCGCAGTCATCGTCATTTGTCTCGCTTCTCTCCACATTTCCATGTATTGCGCCGCTCAGCAACATCAGCGGAGGATTGCCCGTCAGTATCCCGTTGTTAAGCAGCAAGTGTTGTTCGTCTGGAACAAGTCCACCACAGTGATTTCCATGACACTGGTAGCCACTCTGCTCTGTTGGGCGCCCATTATGATCCTACCTGCCGTAATGTCGCCGAGTTCGCCGTCTTTTAAGCGAGCCGTAAAAGTCACCCTAGCTTTCACGACGCTGAGTGCTGCTGTAAATCCTTTCATATTCTTCTGGAGGCTGAAGGACTTTCGTACCGCTCTCGTTGCCTGTTTGCGAGGACTGTACACGGTTTTTCATTGTGACCGTGCATCTAATCAATAGGGAGTTTAAGAAATGACGACGGCGACGCCGTGGACAACGTCGGTTGAGAAATGAACTTACATTTTACCTACGAATCTCGCAATACTCGTAAGTCATTTAGTTTTTTTTCTCGCCGTCAAAACTATCCCTAAACTGAATATGGAACACAGCATTAAATTAGAGATAGAAATTCAAAACGTTAGCCGTCGTCGTTCTCATTCAACAGACAAGGCAAACTTTGGTCATTTCACGTTGTTGTTGTTGTTGTTGAGGACGCAAAGAAGTTTACAAAGATTTTTACGCACGTGCACAGCCATTGTTCTGCTCATGAAACGTTTTGTCGTTGCCGTCGTGGTTTACTTAAACTCCCTAATGTCACCAAACTATCGATTTTCCCGTAAATGCTCTGATACCCTCTTGATCCCTACTTACGAATTTCTAGTTCTTTCAGACGGGGAACTTACAACAGAAGGGGGAAAAACCATAGGAGTTATCTTGCTAAAACTCAGCCTAAATGTCGTCCAGCTTTTAAACGGTACAAGATTCTTTGGTTTAGGAACCCACAGAATTTACACAGGAAACTACTGAAGGCCTTCAAATACAAATATAATAATTTGCATGGAGTTTTTGTAACATAGCTATTTTACCCAATGTTTTCGACTTAGATAAAGGGGGTAAGTCTCTAAAGAAACTGGTGCTGCGTCGGTGGGTGAGTATCACAGGTAATTTAGTGTTAACAACTGAGTTGAAGACGTACATTGGCCACCGTAAAGAGTGTAAAGGCCGACGTTTTGAGCGTTAGCCCTCCGTCAGAGCGATTGATTTAGAGTTTTAAGTCAGGGAAAGGGTGAAGGAGAGGGGGAGGGGAGGGGGGGAGGTATTTGAGTGTGTACGGAATTCGAGAACTCTGCCTCTGAGACACTTAAAGGAATTTATGCGTCACATTTATTCTTCATTTCGTTCCTGCTTGCCAAAGTGAGCTTAAATGATTTAAAAGCTTTTTTATTATTATAAAACACAAGTTCTGTTGTATTGGGTTAAGTTTCACTTACTGACCCTAAAAAAAAAGAGGGCAGTGCGGTCGGTATGGCTCGTATCCTCAGAGCAAAGATGGAAAGTTGGTTCAATTATGAGATTATATGATTGCAGTCTCTTTCACCGCCGTTTGGGAGACAAAAGAATGTGTAAATAGTGTATAATTTTTTATGACAGATCTCATCGATTTCTTGTCAAAATATCATTGTTCAATATCTCTTAGAAAAACAATTTTGATCTGTATCGTTATAACGAATTACTATAATCAATAACTGGAACGAAATCATTTCTTTTCCTTACTGAAAAATTTTGCGCTTTTTAATGGCTAATAATAAAGTCATGTACATGTAAATAACAATAAACAATGTTGTAAATTGTCCTAGATACGTTCAGGTGCATGGAGCTTTTGCATCGGTATAAAGATTAAAAGCTTTACAAAGAAATCACTTTAACAGCAGAAAGTTCGTTCTACATTTGTAGGTCCAGTTGAAGAGGGAAGATAAGAGCTTTTAATTCATGGCTAAATGTTACGTTAGAGTTCTGGAATTACAGCACTTTGTCTTGTCGAGAAATGCAAGTTACAATATGTCCAGATGTACGTATGGTCGTCATGCACTTTAAGCATTATTAAATGCAACATTAAAAGGGTTAACAGTATTTTGATCTACATCAAGGAGGGTACAATTTAGGATGTGTATGTCACGCTTAGGTTCTCTATCTTCCGCTCTAGTTTCGGATGAATTATAACAGAGCACCCACATAAACAGTGTAACTGTTTTTAGATTTGATTCTGAAGAAAGTGTATGCGAACTGAAAACAATAAAGCTTCATATTGGCGCTCCATATTGCGACGAATATTCTCATCTAACATCAACAGAAATGTACTTTACCCAAATCGTTTTATGTGACGTTTCTGTGGCAGAAGACGGCGAATTCGAGCGATCTCAAGGGTTTGGTAACGGACACCCCGGCATTTAAGTGCAGATAGAGCGACGCTGGCTTCGAGGTTTACCCATATTCTTATTAAATTACTCGAAGTCCAAAGAAACAAATGGTCCGTTTGTGGCCTCACTGTGGAAACATACCTGAAAATTTTGATACGATGAAGCGACGTGCAGCAATAGGTAAACAAATATTACCCCAATCTATAAATTTAACGACTACTTGTTATTTGTGCGTTGAGGGTGTTACACGCCTTTCTAGAAAACGTCTCTGGGACTGAAAACCAATATTACAGATCGTACACCAAGAGCATGGTACACAGTCATGTAACTGATTTTTAACAAAGCTGATATTTCATATTTCCCAACGTTAAATGCAAACTGAAGAAATATCCGATTAGGAGCTGTTTGTCCAGGAACTTCTAAGCCTGTTTCTTTAATCTTCTGTCTTCTATCAATGGGAGTCGAAAGAAGCCCGATGATTAGTTCGGTAACGGGTGGGAAATAATCTATCTTATGCATCGAAATTCTTTATCACGCCTCAAGAAAGCAGATAAGAAGGGATTTTTTTCGCAGGACTTTCTAGAAAGTATTTCAAGCCTCAATCCAGGAACGTATGCTTGCAAAACACAAAATCAATTACAGGCAGTTTCTACAAATGAATTCAAGTTCTTACAGAACAGTCTTCTTACATATCGAACATTGACCACTAAAATAAAAACTGCTCGAAACTGGCGTTGAAACTGTGATGCCAAGTAACGTAGATTGCAAAAACTGTCACAGACAAATGGCTTACAACTGGGGAAGACATTCCACCAATAATGTGGCAAAAACGAGAATTTCTTGCGCTAATCTTTGTTTACTTGTAATTTTGAATATCTGGTACTCTATTTCAACACCTATTCTCAGTTTTTCATACCAATGACAAAATTCGGACGATGCCCCAAGAAGTTTACTCTGTTGACTAGAAACTGATGAAAATGCTTACAACCCTTTTATATCTTTAAACACTACAAAAATACACGATTAATTATTCATTTAAATAATTTTCTTAATGGTTTGAATATTTCTAAAGCGAGTCTTCTGCTTCTCTCCTTGCCCGATAACTCGAAAGAGGTTAACAATTATTTACGCACTTGTGTAAATTCTATTTCGATCGAACTCTCCAGGCGCCGCAAAGAATTCGATTTCTTTGTATTCATGCAATCATCTATCAACATTTATGCCTCCAACATGCGCAGGGAAATAATTTCTAATGTCATCCAAAGGTCAGCATCACTGCTATGTAGCCACGTGACGAACACGGACGAGCGCGTGAAAAACACGCGAGGGCATTCTTAGACTTGATACCATTTCTTGTCCTTATATTTGAGTGACAGTTGGTGAGCAGCGTCCGCGAAGGCCTTAGCTCGCACATTCATCTCTGCAGTCTTCATCTCGAGATCAGAAAGCTTCTCACCCCTCTCTGTAAGAGCCTGGAAAACGGAAGGTATTAAAAGGGTCAAGGGAGAAAGAGTCAGCTTAAGAGAGGGGAGGGGGCGAGAGCTTTCGCCTCTTATCAGTGTCGCGTGGAATTCGATTTCCTAACATGTAGTCATTAGGGGGTAGCCTTACAATCGGATCTCATCCTATCTACCACGATCTTTCCACAGGATCTCTTGGTTCCTTCCTCGAAACGTTCAGCTTCTAATATCACTAAGAAGCGGTAGAAGAATACACCCTACCTTCTCTGTGCCTATTCTTATTTCAAGTGGTAAGTTACTTCTTTCCCAAATAAATTCCATGCTACAACTACTGATCCAGTATTACCTCCCTATCTCTTACAAACCTGTTTGTTTTTAGCAAGAACACCAGCCAATCCACTAGACGTTTCCTGCAGTTTTTCCATTCCTGGCCCATGGAAGCGATTGGTCAAACTGCGAGACGCACTCCCGCTGGCTGTCCCAACTGACGAGAAATAAAAGTTAGCTCTCTCTCTCCATTACTCGTCCATAGAATCAACACTTCACATATGGAAATTAGAGAGTTTAAAGACATAATGTACGTCATGATCTCGAGCTAAATATTTCCCGTATGCCCACTCATGCAATAAGTGCATGATATTGCCCATAAGGCTACCGATATCTAGTAGTAAAGTAACCAATTCGTACTATTGAGTTAATAGGTGCCATTAGAGAAACAAAAATGTTTTCTTCGTCTCACGCTTATGACCAATGAATTTTACATCCCTTAACATTCAACCACCTTGAATGTCGTGGATGTGAAATACTTACAGAGCTGTTCTCTATCAAGAGGTGAGACAGCAGTGCTGAATAAGCTGCTGAAGAAACCTTTACTGGGGGGTTCGGGTGTCTCCATGGCACGGAACAATGAACCCTGATTTTCTGTTAGCATACTGGAAAAGACACAAAATGATTACTACACTAGCTGCACAGGAAGCCCATTCACACTCCCACAATTGATCAGTAATTAGCCTCCAGTTACAATATCACCAGACTCCTGTTTTCCTTCTCACTTTCATCTGCGGTTATGCGATTTTCTCATTGTATTAAACCAAATTTTAAATCAAGAAGCTTAAGTAGAGCTAGCAATTATCAGACCCTTGGCTACGTCAATTGGCTGCATAACCCGTTGCCATTCGTTGTGATCGTTTTTTCCCCCAAACAAACAAGGAAGAAGAATATCAAAATGATATAGCTCCCACATCCAAGTGTAGAATGGTTCTAAACTAGCAGCTGCCGCAACTCCTGTTCACGGACCACGAGAACCAAGGGGAGACACTTAGGTGCATCGATGAGCCTAACCCAGCACTCAGGTTACAATCAGGCTGATCTGTTCAAACCTTTACACTCACCCTGGTCTGGCAAACATCGAGAGCCTTTGAATTTCGAACGGGGAGCACAAAATTACTGCTTGTGCGTCCTCAGAGAACACAAGCGTCCTAAGAAATCTTAAAACAAAATTAAACAAGTGTAAGCTCATTGTATTCAAAATATTATAAGAACATTCAATGGTACATTCTATGGTACATTCTATGGTTTACTACAGAAAAACTTGCTAGCCAGCGAAGAGTTTTGTAGCTTGACATGCTACAAAAATTGCCCACAAGCGCACACCTTAACTCCTACTCGCGATGCGCCGTTAAATGAGTTCCTAGCACCATACCCATTTGTAGTCCATCATAGTGTAACATGGATGTTCTATCTCACTCTCGTAAATACGCAAAGGGGTTCTGAACGCCAGGCCTGACTTGCCGTACTACATGAGGTAGCACGCTCGTTTATACATATGCATGCATCCACGCACGCACGCGCGCAGACTTACAGCACCAGGCCTACCTGTAATCTTTCATAAGAAACGAACACTCCACGTCCATAAGCGGTGACAGGTTGGGCAGACTCAGAGCAAGCAGCTTTCCAAGACTGTTTAGACACAATAAGCAGCTGCTGCCTTCAATAAAAAAAAGAAAAAAGTAGGGAGCGAAGACGTCAAGCCTAAATAGCCTAAAATACATTGAGACAAGTCTACGTGGAACCATAAAAAGTTGAAATATGCAGAGATGAAATGAGGTGAATTTGGAGGGGAAAGAAAAGTTCCTTTTCGCGGCAGCAAAGGCCTTGTAACCACTGTCTTGTATTCAAGATTACAGAAAGGTATCCAGGGTTCTATTGCTTCTCTGCAAAAAAGCTTCAAAGCGCCAGTGTAACTACATCAGAAAGTCACGAGATTGAATAAACTGATTAGTATAAAGGTAAAACAACTTTGAACAAAACTCTCAGTTACCTTGAACAACAACAGCCGCTGCTTTGAGCAACACTGCCACGTCCTCGACTAGATTTGCCTCAGAGAAACTTTTTGGATTCGTATGTGACGTGGGTAAAGAGTAAACCTGAAGATTAAACAAAGGATAAGTCACAAGAAAATATTTCCTACTGCCAACAACTAATCCTAAGATAGTGTGGCTTGGTTTCCTCCTTCGGAGACGTTACGAATATGGGTCCCTAAAAACTTCTACGCAGGCCACTAGGGAAAATTGTGTGACATTAACTGCTCAGTGAAGTATCTACAAGCGGAAAACTAGGTAAAATTGTTTCTTCTAGCCGATTCTCCTGCCCACTGTCTCGCCCTTTTGATGCGCCACAACTGAGTTGCAATAAGCAGGGCCCAGTTTAGCACTCCTGAGACAAAGCTTTCTTAAAACGTTTTTAAAGCAGCAGGCATTGCTTGAGTCAGAATCAAGCTTCACTTCCCAAAACGTCTGCAGCAACACAGCAAACTTTTCACGAAATATCAATTGCAACTGTAGCGTAAGTGGCTTTTGCTACGGCTGTTGTAATCAATTTTGTGATTGGTGAATTTAGCTCAGAGGACTTAGTACGATTGGCTGCTTTGACTATCCGATTACAGCCCACGGTCCGATTACACTGTCCGATTACAACTCTGCAGAATAATATGTGAAAAATATAGCAGTTAATGCCACAATCATATTTGGAAAAATTGCAATCGTTATGATTAATATCGTTATCAATAAAGGGCAAAATTACTGAGCGCTGATTGGTTGAGAGAGAGGGCATTTTTTCTTAATCGAGGGCATTTTTAGTAATCAAGAGAGGGCATGATTACCTTGTTCAGTTAAAAGCACTTTGTTGTTTTTCTGTTGGCAGAAACGCTCTGTTGAAATGAGCTTTGTTTTCTAGACTTTTGGCAGTGTATCACGACACAGTTTTGGAGAATAAAATTTCATTGAATCGATTGGTCAGTTCAATTTGATTGATGATTTGCCGTAGCGCTAAACAGGCTTCCCAGATAAAAATAGACTGCGCGCGTGATTTTCCTTCGTATAAATTTTACCCTTTATTGATAAACAAGTAATCCCACGAGACCTCGTACTATTAAGGATTAATTGCACTTGAGTTTTCAAAATTTTCCAAATTGCCCTCGTCGCTTCGCTTATCATTGCGCCAATATTCATATGAGCCCACATTGAATCATCTTTGCTAACATTAAAAGAAACATGACATTCCCTGAATAATCTATGGTGGCAACTGCTGCAATATTACACACAAAAAAAAAAAGAAAAATTCAAGCGAAAGAGTCTCTACTGAGCTGTTGACTTTTTTTTTTAATATATCAGTACTAACCTTGGCTTCTCTTTCTGTGCAGATAGCAACAAAATGCCTATCGAAAACTTCTCTTGTTAACAGAGAGTTTCCTAGTGGTAAAAAAGAGTAATTACGGTAACTTTTTAAGTTCAGGCTTCATACACCTTTCTATACTAAAGATAAAACTTTCAAGATAGTGTGTTCCCAAAACATTGATACATTCCTTCCATTTTCCACACTCAAAAGTAGCCACGATGCACTGCAACGACACAATTACAGCGAAGTGGAACGCACTATAACTACTGTATGAATAAGGATAAAATGTTTCTCTACGAACGCTAAAGCTGGCTTTTAAAAATCTCTTTCACGAATAAACTAATAAGCCCAATTGAATAACATCCGGAATGTATAATAAGTTGTGGGGCATATTGCAGCATTTCATTTTCCTTATGTTTTCAAATTTGTAGTATTTGTTTGCGGGAGTACGCTAGAGAAAAGCTTATTAGAAAATCTGAAGCACTAGATAAGGAGCTTGTCAGAACGTCACGGTTTACAGAAGTAAAAAGCAGAATAATTCCAACTCTAACTCTTATTATGGTGTGAATCGTTTTCCTTCCAGAAATGAAATGGTGATGGAAAGAGATGTCCTTGGCCATCCAGTATATCTATGCTCAGGATCATACCAGCTTTAGGCTGACATAACGTTCCTGCAGAAGAATGGGGAATGGTCAATAAAGAGTACGCATGCGTATTGTAATCTCATCGCAATCTCAATGAAATGATTAGCTGATTGGTACACGCCTTGGTTCTTAAGAATGATCTATTGGAGAACTGACGCACAGATGAGGTCACCATTGTTCTTACCGCAGTGTAACGTCATTTGTGACCTGTTACTGAACAGACACACTTCAACATGGAATCTGAAATGGCAATGACGCCTGATTGCCAACGTATGGGCCACGTACGAGTGCATCCCTTTAGGCTTTCATTTCAGTACAGAATATTCTGTTACCTGTTGTAATTGTTAATACCGGCTGTGACTCTCTCTGATCTCCAACGGGCAAGTTCAAAACAACAACAAAAACATTTCCGAGGGCTGTTCCAACCCACAAACAGGGGCTAATCAAATTGTCTACAAAAACAAAAAAGATTATTAACGTATTTAAAAAGGCCGAAAATACAGCACCCTTCATTATAACTGGTTCTTGTTGCCTCGCTGTAAGCGAAAGTTTTCTCTCAGTTTCGAAGACACGATCGAGGCAAAAAAGGCTAAGTCAACTATTATTTTAAACGAATAAAGGGGGTAAGTTTCTAAAGAAACTGTGGTGCTGCGTCGGTGGGAGAGTATAACAGGTAATTTAGTGTTAACAACTGGGTTGAAAACGTAAATTGCCCACCGTAAAGAGTAAAAAAAATGACGTTTCGGGCATTAGCCCTTCGTCAGAGCGATTGACGTAGGGCTAATGCTCGAAACGTCAGCTAATACTCAGGCTGATGAGCTAATGCTCGAAACGTCAATCGCTCTGACGAAGGGATAACGCAGTTTGTGTTCTTGAGCACATATATTTTCTGGGGCCCGACCCGGAGATCATTTTAACCCTCGGTCAGCAGTTCCGCCTAAAATGACTTTGAGTCGGACCCAAAGATTTATGACGCTTGCGAACATATACTCCATTGTTCTGTATATCAACGTGGAGCAGGAATATGTTTCGTCAAAAATGAACCATGCATATATCTCAAAGTACTAAGAAGGGACGGTAGGCGTCAAGAATTTCTGGCTAGGCATCCGCAGTTTACCACAAAATGACCCAAGGAATGGCTCTAAAGAAGACTCAATTAACCTCCACTCAGTCGTATTTTTGTTTGAGAACCTTGTTCGTTTAGTTTTCTACTTACCATTCTTTCTGGTAAAAGTGCAAGCAAAGCGCACACAGCTGATGCTGTCAGGGGGGCCACTATCCATGTTCGCAACACTACTTGATCTTTGTCGAATCCCATCGATAGCATCACTTTCGCCCTGTCCGTCACCACCAGGCTTGCTTAGCCGCCTCGCCAGGGGAGGTGGGCGAGGAGGACGGCTCTTCCTTCTCTCTGATTTTGAACTAAGATCTACGTGGAATTCCCCCCCTGAACCATCAGTGTTCATGGTAAATGTTATAGGGGTGCCAGTTGTCACAGGAGTTGTAACAGAATTAGCAGATGACGATGGCGATTCTGTCACAGCTGAAAAAGAAAAAAAAATGAGTATAAATAAATGCTCATTGGCCCATGTAGCATGTCAGGCTGAGGAATATTGCCATTGGTAGTGTTAAGAGAAACCAAAGCAGCATTTAACTGTCCTCCCAAACCTGAATCCAATTTTCCCCTCACTGCAAGACGCGACCAAACCAGGCCTGAGAAGGAAACTATAATGCAAGGGGCAAATAACATGTACTGAGCAGTAGACGGGTCTCCCAGTAGTTATGAGCTCGTAGCTTTCTCAACAACAAAAAAAATTAAAATAACTTTTACAAAAAGACATACAGTACCGATCAAAGGTAAGGTGACAGTCTTATCTCGACACTCAATTCGTGACTTACGACGCCCAAGTTTCGAGAATCAAAAAGCGACTTTTGAGACGCTCCAAATATTTTCAAGGACCTCGATGCACAGTTGCGAGGAAACGACTTAACTCTCGAACGCAGAACAATAGCGAAGGACCAAGCGCTCGGCACGCGGCCTCCTCTCAGCGCATACAAGCTCGTAGCTTTTTTCAACAAACAGACAAAAATATTGAAAAAACAAACAAACAAAACAAAAAAAAGGGTGGGAAAAGACACAGACTGATAAAATCTTACTACAGGAAGTGAAAATCATTTTGTGTTCTCAATAATATCGTAAACATTATATGACTCAGAAGATTTCCTTACCAGACATGTCTTGAGCTGACAACAAAGTAATAAGTTTCTTTTGAACTGTGTCAACCAGTGCTAATGACGGCCCATTGCTGATGGATATGCTGTAAAGGATTCAAAACATATAGCGAAATTACAACACTACCCGTATTTTGAGGTCTATCAACTGTCCCATTTAAAATGAAGACTTTCAAATCTGTAAAATTCAATGTGAAATGTGACCAGCATTTAAAGGAGCTACACTATATTTCCGGTATTTTGTCCACTTCTCCTTTTTGGAAGTCATTGTTCGATCATGAGTTGGATTTCTTTCCGGTATATATGTTTTGTCATATGTCGTGTAATAAAATGAGAAGAGTTTCCTTCACTCATTTTTTTCAAAATTACTTTTACAAACTTGAATGTCTTTGTATAAATTTAAAAGATTTTGCAGAAAATCTGATATCTCCTTATACTATTTCCACCCTCTAACAACCCCTCTGCCGGCTCTTACGCCTGTGGAGACTCAAACTGAATATGATAAAAGGAACATAATGATCAAGATGATATTTTTATGTGAGTGACAAATTAGAGTTCACTTAGAATCACTTATTTTTTACCTTAAGATAAAAATCGTTAATGAACGCATCAGACAATCACAAGATATTCATGAACTCTTACGTAAAGAAACAGTTTGTTTCAACTTACACTCCAAACTCTGAGCTAATTGCCATGTTGCTGAGAGGCACGATATCACAGCTCGCTGATGGAATCATGCAACAGAGTGTGGGTTGGAATCCTGGCGATCTCTTGTACAAACCAGTTTTGCAAGTTAGGGTGGGACAGTTCACAGTCATAGAGAGTGGCGTAGGACTGTGTGCCAGTCCCTCTCCTTTATCTTCAGTAGGACTGAACAGGTCGGAGTCTGGTGACCCATCCATACCCGCGTCAAACAGAAGATTGACGTCAAGTTGCTAAAGCCATTTACAGAACATCGTGTCAGAACATACAAAATACATAAGTCTACTTGCGCTGTCTAAATCAAATGCTAAGAATAATCTGTATGAAGTCTAATTTTGACAATTGAAATTAAGGGTGTTCTTTGCATTAATACTATTGCACCTTCACATAGAGTAATTATTCAAGGCCAAAAGTTTTGGCTGTCAATCCTGTAAAGTGATTGTAAACAGCTGAGGGAACAAATTAAGTCTCAAATTTGACTGTCTTCTGAGAAAGGGACTACACGTTTTCACAATCAACGCCCCCCCCCTTTCAGGTGACAATAACACCACAGAAAGGACTGTTCCTTGTGGATCTCGATGGGGTAACCGTTTGCAGTAAAACGGTCGAAAAAATTTAGCTGTTGGGCGTAAAAATTGACTTATTTTAACCGCAAGTCGTAAAATAAGTTAACTATGAAAATTTTTCCTTTAAACGATGTGTCATTTTGGGTTAATCGTAAACCCTCTTTCTTCCAGTTCTAACCATTTACTGTAGATTACCCTCCCTCTCGATGCTAAATATAACCTGGAGTTCCGGGAATCTTGTAAAGTTTCTTGCTTTGCACAAACTTGACACTCAGTTTGCAATCCCTTACGCACTTTCTCGTTGTTTTCACCAAATAAGAAAAAGTCGATCAAAGTTGTGTGGCTTTTACACTGTTAAGTTAATCAACGTTTTAAAAGCTTATGTAAGCAAAATAAATCAGACAAAACCTTACCACTAATTCTAATGTCTCTTCAACAAGGCTGAACTGATAAACTATAACATGGCTGGTGCCAGCCACTAGAAGTGTCCGACTTCGAACACACAGTTCTACCATGTTGACAGCATAGCAATCAATGTCGACCACGGAGGGGGGAGAATGTTCACCGCTACTACTGCCTTCAGAATGGCCATTGGCGTCACCGCTCTCGACTGCATTTGTGCTCTTTTCAAAAATTTTACTTGTTGAAAGTTTGTAGAGACATTTTAAGACCGCTGTTGGAGTAAATAGGACGGAAAGATGAGATCACTATTTGAAAGCTGACATGCAATGCATTGGCCATATATGTTTGTTCCCCCACACTTTAACTTTCTTAGCACCTAAACCTGCTTCCTTTCATTAGTCAGCGAGAAAATTTTAAGGGGTGTGTTTCAAGTGATAGGGGATTGCAACGGTTTTTTCCTTACTTCATTCTAGGAATGACCAAGAAACTAGCGACAACCTTTCCACCAATCAAATAAAACAAAAAACAGAAACAGTCCTGCTTGGTCACTCCTGTTTCTTTAGTTTGTTTTTAAATGAGTTCTCATTGGCTCCTTGTCCTATTTTCTATGTTCTGATTGGCCGTTGCAATCACTTTGGTTTAACATAATTAATCCAGCCAAGCTATAGTGTATCATGACAATATTATACAGTTAAATTGAGTAAAACTAACCTGATGAACCTTCCCAGAACTTTACAGATCCATCAGAATGACTACAACAAATGAAGGTGGTTTTTTTTATGATAAATAACCATGATGCTATAGAATGTGAATAACTGCAATTTTCTTGGATAAAGTTTTGATTAATAGCAAGGGTTATCAGGGTTTGTGGCACTGTTTTTGTTGGAACAAAAACAGTGCCACAAAGAATTAATTACATACTTGTAAACATTTGCAATTGAGGGAGGGTCATGTGTAAATTTAATATCATATCATGATTACTCAAGTGATTTTAGACATTCTCTCAACTGATTGGTTGAGAATTCTGTCACATCTCTCTCTAATCACCCCACACAAAATAATAGAGGGGGGGGGGGCGCTAAACTCTCCAGATTATAGTGGTGACAATTAGCTCCTCTTCAGACATTTAAACCCTGCTCAACACTTCCTTCCAACTGAAGTTGACACAAGCACTGCAACTATCTAGTTTCATTCAGTTTTTGCTTCTGTCATTCCCAGTTGACAGACCTGCTTGATCTTTCTGCCAAACTATGTTTTTTTTTTGGACAAATGACAAGTGCAATGAATAGAAAATTTCATAAAATTCACGTTTTTACACTATTTATCATGCGAACAATTACACTAAAAAAGTTAAGAGCCTCAGCTCAGGCTAAGTGAATGTTGTGAAATAATCTCCTCAACTTTGTCTCAGAGATTAGTCATCAACATTCAATTCATTTCTAGAAAAAATTTAAGAATTTAATATAGTGTAATTTACAGAGAAAGTAAAACCCTCACCCAGTAATTATGAGCTCAGTGGTGCTCTTCTCTGGAGCTTCTCCCACAAGACCTCCAGCTATAGGCCAGGCCTTAACAAAAAAAAAATTTTAACATGTGGACTGATTTGATTAACTTCTTATTAACTGAGTGCAACGGTTGTTCTGGGGAATATTGGCCCGAAGTTGCGGCAGTACAGACCAAGTGCAGTGAAGTTTGTACAAAAACAACCAAGGACCAATCTTCCTAAATCAGCTCAAGCAAGCAAGGTTTAGCAGTTTAGTGCATGGCAATCAGACCAAACATGTTTCTTTTGAATATGCTAGCTTTCACAACCAAAATACATGGCTTATGACCATTCCTGTGGAAACAGTCCATATGACAAATTATGGACTAAGTAAGAACCCATCAGAACACTTAGATTTACCTCAGGAATACCTGGACATATAATATAAATACAGTTCCTATACACCTCGTTAAACATGCAAAGAGATAGCTGTAGAGAGTGTTTTAATTTCTTGCATGTTATAACTTTACAATTAAACTAAATGACGAAATAGACAAATATCATCTAACCAATCAGCTGAATAGTTAGTATTTTTCTTTATTAATTTACAGTCAAGACATTTTCAATATTGCTGATCCAAAGAGTATGAAAGATGCTTGCATGAACCTCAAATATGGCCTAGCTTAGAAAAAACCCTCTGTGGATCAGTGGTAAAGAGTATTGAACTGTATAAAGTACAAGTCCTTGTGGCATTTGTCTTTGTCCCACACTTATGACAACTGAACAACATCTTTGCTTCTCGAAACTACCATCTTTCATTATCTATTCACTATGATAGTTTCTGATCACTAAACTAAGATTCTGTCCACTGTCATTGTTACTTTCAGCAGCAACAGAGCATGTAAAGTTGAAAGAAAACATAAGATATGATCAAAATGCAGGGCACTAGATTATCACAAAAACAGGTACAAACCTGAGTACTTTCTCCCCTTTGCAACTGTCTTTTTCGTGTGCGACTGCTAGCTGTTGACCCCAATGCCACAATTAAGTCCCTTGGGCACTCATTGTAAAATTGTGTACAAGTGACTGGAGACTCGTGGATGTTGAATGTGTAAGGTACTTCCATTGCAGCAGACCTGTAACATTTATTGTCCCAAAATCAAGTGAGAATTTCATTGCAACTTCAAGATACAAAAGGGCTGTCATCTTAAAAACCAACTTACCCACACAACAAGAGGGTAAAACCAGTTTAAATTTACATTAGTGGGAATGATTTATATCACATCTATACTGCCTATTAGAGCCATATGTCCAGTAAGAGAAATCAAGTTCTAAGAGCCTAGAATCTCCCCTATTATTTCTACATTGCTTTGCCACAAAAGGATATTCAGTTTCTGACTAAGGAAAATTGGACCCAAAAAAGTGTTGCATGTGATTGATCATTTTTCTAAAACAGTGTTAAATATTTTTTACCCTGAGAGAGGCAAGCATCTCCTTACTGTATCATTGCAGAATCAAACATTAATTCCCACAAGTGATTAAAATATAACTTCTCCCTTTAATACCCATACAATATCCAGCAAACAGGTGATGAGAATACTCAAACTTATCATGCAGAAGTTGTTTTCCCGTTCTAAGGACAAATTTTCATAACCAATATACAAGGAAATGTGTAGCAGCTAAAAGGGACAAGGGCCACAAGAATAATTAAAAGGAAACAATCATCAACCAATTTGAAGCTCCACGTAACTGAACAAGTTCTCTCCTCATCAGTACCACAGGTAACGTGTACAGAGGAGTTTGGAGAAGGCATACTTATGTTAATGTGCAAAGGTTTAAGCCACTCCAAACTACTGACAGCAAGTTTCCATCCCAATCAATTCTTAATGTGCATAACATACTTTGCAGAACTTGAGAGTAAGTCAAACACCATCAGCTTCACAGGAGTTAACACAACCACAGCTTTAGGATCTTGTACATCTGCAATAGAAAGAAGAAGGCACTAGGAGTGTAGGAGTTTTCTTGAAATGCTGAACTCAGAGCCTTAAAAACTTATGCAGAATCTTATTTTAAAGGTTAGTAAAGTGGAAGGTGACCTCATGAGTGAAAGAATGATCACAGAAAAATATTGAATTTGTGTACAATGAAGCCTTCAAGCAGAAGCCACACCAGCTCTGCTGTAATTTTCTTGATATTATTTTCTTAAAAGGAAAGTTCAAGTGCTAATTTCAGCCAGTCTCCATTAAGACACTTTGTAACAATGTTCAATACTTTCATGCAGTTTTTTTGCAATCTTTGAAGAAGACCTGGCACTATCAGTACACATGTAATTGTTTTTATTAGTCTTTGAGACTGATCACAGAATTGGAATCAATCCATTGTGGTAATGGCTGGGGTATGGGTGGGAAGCTGTGTAATACTGAGTGACTAACTTAAGGTAATTTAGAAATGTTACATCTTTTAAGAAGGAAGCCTGAGTAACTTCTTTTAATTAGTACTGAAGAGATGGGAGTTAGTTTTTTTTGCTTTTAATTAACAGTTAGTTTTGTAGCAACATTTTGAAGAAGGAAAAAACATGATCATGAATACTGTTGTTAGTATCAGTCATGTTTTGATGAATTTAATATTATCAATAATGCATGAAGCTTAGGCAAGTTACCTTCTCCCCATGGAGTAGAATTGATACAAACAAAGTCCACCACAGTGTCTGTGCACAGAACTTTTATGGAGCGACTTCCTTGCATTAATGTCAGTGCTTTCTTCTTGCTGCTACACGTCCCTCCTGAGAATATCATCAATGGATCTCTGCAAACAAATTTAAATTGAGCTGATATGATGCTAGAGACCTAAAAAATTAAAGGATATCAAAGGCACAAACTGTATTATAAATACAAACATTAAATATCTTCAATTTCAAAATGAAAATTCAACTTTTGAATGGATGGTAGGGAGACATCCAAGCCAAATTTGACAAAAAAATGCATAGCAAGTAGAACCAAAACACTACACAACCAGGTGAGAAAGAGTGCCTTCCAGTATAATATCTAATAATTCTTAACAGAAATATAAAGTTTATTCTTGCTGAAAACCTTGTACTCGGACTACAGTGTTCTACTACATTTTTTCCAACATTGCGAAAAATTGAGACCACTGTTTGAACACTACCCATTTTTAGGCGCATTCATTTAGAAAGGCACTTTACATATTACAATTCTATTATCATTTATAGCCATCTTAATTAAACCTCAGCTTATGGCCACACATTTCATAATTGCATGTGAATAACTTTTTTTATTCTAATCAACTGTCTGCTTACATTTTTATTGTCATTGTCAAGGACTGTTTCATATAGTCACCTTCTTAGAGCCAAAGGGTTAAATAAAGCACATACCCTGAACTGACTGCCAACCACTGCACCTTGAAAATGGGTTGACATGGTCTTCCTTTGTCACTCTTACCTAAGACAATAAATTTTTTTGGTTTAAAAGATGTCAGAACTTCTGTGCACAAACTATGACTTAGAATCTATTGTTAAGGCTTTGTTTATCAACATCTGAGAGCTCTCTCAGTGGACACTCTTGTAAGCAGTGAGCTTCTAACTTGCAGCTGGTTGGAACTTCATAACAAACTCCAAGCAAACTTACACATTCTTACACATGGACACTCTCATAGGTGGCTGCTCACATTTTCAGGGGGTATTTTGGATTTTTCCTCTGATTTTAAGCTTAAATAGGAGGGCAGGTTATCTTCTGGTACAGGATTGCAACAGTGAACAAGTGGGTTTTGTGGAAGTTGACTGATCTGCCCATTTAGAAGTTATTAAATGTGCCTGCTGGCTAAAACATTCCTTACCATGTGGAGTTAATGTCTCAACTGGTTTGTCACTGTTTTTGAGATTCCATACTGTTAAAGTACCATTACTGTGAGAGCAAATGAACTGTTTTCCATCATTCAACCAATATGCTGAGGTCATTGGCTATTTGGATTGAAGAAAAACATGCCATATTTCATGATAAATTAGTTAAAAAACTGCAGCAGTAGAGCAAAGCTTACAGCATCGAGGAAAGCAAAGTGAAAAGGAATGGGAGAGAAAATCTTAAGTCTGTTTAGTGCGAGTGAGGTAGTCAGTGTCTGAGTGAGGTATCTGGTGTATATACAGCCTGAACCATTGCAGTTACATTCTCAACCTGACACATATGAAGGCAGAGATCTTCCTCTTCTAAAATATTATATTATCCCTTTGACCTGGCCCTACCAGTGATTAGGATCTAGTTTTTTCCTATAATATTATTCCTAAATCAAACATTAAGATCAAAAGTTAGTAACCACCCTCTAGCCAATGGTGAAACAAGGTGAAGAGGTATATGTCATTGATGTAATTTCCTCTAAATATCTACCCAACTGAAAAATCCTAACTTAGTTTCACCCTTAACAACTCACCTGAGAACAGACACATCTATGTTCTACAACCTTCCCTCTAAGGGACCAAACAACAACGGTGCCAGACTCAAAACCTAGAAGCAACTGAAAAATACACAAATTTCAAAAAGGGATCAATATTTGTAGCATGAATCTATCAAACAGTAAATATAAATGAACTAAACATAAAAACTTTAGATCCAGCATACAATCCATACACACGTACTACTAGTCCAGAACATTTGACAGAAATGTTTGAGACACTTGCTTGAAAGTAACCTACTATTGCAAATTAATTGAAAAATAAACCTTTCCTGCCCCCACTTCCCCACCATTACTATCTACAACTGGCAGCAAAATTGTTGACACATTGACCTTCTTGACCCCCAATTAGCTTGCTGCCTCATTCCCCAAAACAATTGCACTGTGATTCCATGAACTTTTAGCTCCTACTGCACTCCACAGGTAACAGTGAGTGGGGTAGGAGGGGTCTCGTGATGATTTAGAGTGTGATAGAAACAGGAGGGTTACTCTACACCTAAATAGGGCTCTCTAAACACGAAGTGTCTTCTAATTTTGATGCTGATTGTGGGTACATGAACAAAATGCCACATCCCCTGATAAAGAATTAGTGCAATGGCAGGGGGGGAATTTCCAGAGATATCTTTTTGTTGAAGAGGAGGAGTGTTTTGTTGATGGAAGGGTACCATAAACATTCTAATAGACTGTAGTTCCTTGAATAGAGTGAAATGATGAGAAGTATTACTTCCTTGACCACATGAATTCTGTGATGTAGTAGGGCTGCAGAGAGTAACTGACCATTGGCTCCTACCTTATTTGGGTCCACTGGATTACCACTTATATGTACAACTGGACCTGGGTGGGACTTACATTTTCTACAAACGACATTCCAGAAAAAAAAATCAAATAAATTCCTAAAATGGCCTCTCTTTTATGTCAAAATCTGAAACAAGTTCTATTTGTTTCTTACTTTGTTCCATATAATTTGAAAATTAACGAAGCATGAGCAATTATGACATCACACCTGAATCACACATTTAAGGTCTCCAATTCTCTACCACTGAGCCAGAAGGACTCAATGGTGAAGGAGGTCTGTAATGAGGTTCATATGACACACATCCTGCATACTGCTGGATTAGCAATGTCCATAGCGTCATGTTTGTAAATAGGATAGGAAAGATGGTAAGTTTTGAGCTCAGTAAGAAATAGTGAAAGATATTTTTCATCTTGTCACAAGTGTGGGACAGAAAAAAATAGAGTCCCCATGAAGACTAAGAATTCCAGAATTCCAGTTCCTCATGAGGACTCAGAATTTTTTCTTTGTCCCATGCTCATGACAAGACAAAAAATATCTTTCACTATTTCTTACCAAGCTTTAAAACATACCATCTTTTTTATTCTATTTACAAGGGTGGTTTAAGTTCTTTAAACCAGCCAATGAACATAATGAAACAAACCAATCAACCAAAACAGAAAACCATTTCAAAACTTGGAATTATAACCAACCTGAAATATTCAAGATGCTATTGTTTCTGTAATTTTTTTAAAGTGTAACAGTACTCACATTTCAATTACTTTATTCCAATTTATTGTGTATCCTGATAGCTCAAAGCTCTCAATATTTACAACATGAATATTTCCCTTTTCTGTACCAACATACAGCCACTTTGAAGAAAATGGAAGGTGCATGCACGTTAATCTGAACATGGAAGAAACAACAAAATTAGCAACTGTTCTGAAATCACAACACAGGACATTTTGCACTTCAAGAACATTGTGGAAGGGTTACACTCTATCTAAACTTAGGCATGATGCTACAAGATTCCCATGTTTAACATTCAGGTTTAATTCTTTAACTCCCATGAGTGACCAAGAAAAAATTTCTCATAACAGTGTCAATACAATATCATGCAGACAAGTGATAACAATAAAGAAAAATATCAATCCAGGACTAGTTGATACAATACCACATTCTCAAGACAAACATCATAGGAATTTTGTGGAAGAGAGTAAGGAGAGTTAACGATAAGATCTTGGAAGTTAAGGGTTAAACAATTTAACATATAGGGGGCCATTTTACATACCATGACAACAGGTGCTTTCCACATCTCAAAATTACCTCCTTTTCCTCAAAATTCTGGCTAAATACAGAATATATACCCCATTCTCTTCACATTTGTGGATGTAAATGATTGTACAATGTATGCAAGCTTACTAATTCACCAGCAGATCCAAAAGTGCAAAGGGACCCTAAGTGTCTATGCTTGGTATCTAGGCCCAACCCTTGATCAAACTCTTGCCTCTTTGAGGCTATCATTACACAAGCATGTATGAGGTACATGATAAATTTTGACTACCATCTTTTCATGCAAAGAAAAACCAAGGGCCCATATTCTCCCTCTGTTCTACCATGCAAGCATAGATTTATTTCAGAAATTGAAACTGTCTTTAACACAAGTTTGTAAACTTACTTCTCACGATTAAACCGCAAGGATTGCACAAGAGCAGGTTGGGCTTGTCGCAAATTCCACAAGTGAATGTAGTCATCTTCACAAAGACTTATCAAAGCTCCCTTGGAAAAAAAGAATATTAAGTCAAACACAAAAACAAAAAAAGGTCGTAATTAAATTAGATCTAGACAGTACAAATATATTGACTCAAATTGGGGATTCACATAGATTCCCATGGTGATGTTCATAGTTAAATCACCCATTCCACTCTCATTACTATCTGCCATGTACATTTTTTATGTTGTTAGTTCAGAGAATTTGATATTGAATCAACTAGTAACCTCCTAATTGATATATAACTTCATTCTAATCACTATTCTGCTTGATATAAAGGGAAAATTCTGTCTTGGTTGCTCATAGAAGTTATGGGGATAAAAATTAACATTTAGGAGAAGTAAGTGAAAAATGGAACTTCTCCCGACAATTTAATTACATAGTTAAGACAACAGATAGTTTGTATAGGTGACAACATGATTTTGGGTGAAAATTGGTGTTAAGCACAAGTAATAAGGGCAAGTGCAATTTGAAGTCTTTGAAAGATTTACAAGTGCTTAATTATGCAAGAAATCATGTTATTACTTGTTATTAATTTAAATGAAAAATGCATCACAGAGAGTCAAGACAAATGAAATTTTAGCAAGTGTGCTAAAATTGAATCAATCTTGACTTTATTTGCACTGGTGTTAAAACTGCACTCATGTTACCTAAAAATGCATTTTTTTTTAGCCAATAAGATGCGTGAAATTTTTTTCATGCATATTAATAGAAATAAACAAACTTTCCTGTTAATTATTTTTAAGAGTGTAAGGATGAAATTCAATGTGCAGGACATTAGTATACAAGATGAAAAAGGACTGTCATCCTCACTGAACCAAAATTCACTGCAAAATTTACTAAACTTGCTTAAAATGCAGAGCAGTAATGCATGCATGATGATACCTTTGTGTCTGAGACACATTATTTTAGATAATTATCTAAAGAATGTATGCAAGAGCATGATACTTTTAGGATAAAACGACAGTGTGTCATCGACAAATAAAGAAGAACAAGTGTTTATCACCTCATTTATGAGGAATATAAGTTCTCTGACAGCGGCACTACTGTCATGTTGAACGTGGCATTCCACACCAGCTCGTCCCAATCTAATTCAGAAACAGTCAAGGACTAGCGATGAGTCTTTGGCCTCAGTTTTGGTAGTGTGTCTGTTGACTAGACCATAAAGTAGGAGACAAGCAACGTAACAAAAATAAATGAGAAACGTTCCAAAACTATAATTCAAGGCGCGAATCGATTCTTTGCCCTAATATTTCATCGGTGCATGGGATGAACAAGTTTAGCCTGAAAACATGGTCTATGCTTAATGAAAGAAAATTATCACACATAAGCATTGAGAAATCTATACCTTGCATCAGTTTAAAGCTACCAAGAAAAAAATAATCATGAACTATACCACGACGTGCAGCATTCACAATGGCAACACCGATGAAAGCTTATATCCGGCTAGTAATTGTCGCAGAAGTCGACAACGTAACATCTTTTGAATATAAATAGAAACAAATAAACCAAAAAACAAACTCGTAAACTTGTTCTTTAAACATTGATTATACATGTAAACATTTGTAGTCTGAATAAGAAAAAGAGAAAACACACTTAGTAAACGTGCTATTTATTACAGAGATGTACAAAGCCTTAAACCTCACAAGTTCAACTGAAGCGATGTACGTCAGCAAATTAATTAAGTCAAGCTAGCAAGCGTCCTGCAGATAAATTACAGTATATAAGGATACAGGCGAAGAGAGCCATCGAAAGCTCCAAGAGCGAGAATACTCTGAACAGGATCGTATGCAATACAAGTTGGTTGATACGGAAAGCCATAACGAAAAGTCTGCAAAAATAAAAATCAAACACAAAGATGTGTTAAATTTGTTGAACTCTGCGTTCGTGCTCGACTGCTTATTAACAAACTATCGTGATCAGTGATACCGGTACAAACCTTTGTAAAAACAAAGTCCTCGGCCTTCAAACGATCTGTTATAACAGGCTCTTCCTTGGCACTGATGCTACCCATTCTCCCCCCATGCCCAGACCGAACTACTTTAGTTAATCTTTTCATGAATGTCCTTTTCCCGTCAGCCATCCATTTTCATTAATAGTTTTTTGTAATCCACTGGAATAACATACACAACTGACGCAAACGCTTCTGGGAGATATGTAAATACAGAACCCGGATGGCAATAGAGAAGTGGGGACCGCAAGGCGTACACAGGTTTTAATTATCTTAGGCAGAATGCTCATTTCTTACTTTTTCCGTTTTCTTCCACCCTATTTGAAAGGAATGACGTAAATATAAAAAGAGTTATGTGTGTGTGTGTGTGTGTGTGTGTGTACATATATATATATATATATATATATATATATATATACATAAATATTATGAGAGGAAAAAACGACGCAACCAACGTTTAAACGCCTGAAGAGTGAAGCGATTCACGAAACAGGCTTGTCGGGATATGTAGTTGCGTCGTTTTTTCCTCTCATAATATTTATTCTGCTCTGCTTCAACGTATTGAGCACTGTTCCACGCGAAAATCGACTTGCAGACTTCCTATATATATACATATATATGTATGTATGTAAAGAGACTACTCTTTCATCCCGAGAAGCCAGTTTCGTAATTAACTCACTCTTCAGGGGATTTTAATGACAAGAATATTCGTAAACATCGATGATACACTGTAAAATTTGCATAATTTACGTGGCTGTAAATTTAGATTTTCTGTTCAGCTGTCACGTAGCAACGTGACAGCTGAACGGAATTTAATTTTTTAATTTTTCTTTAACACAGAGGTTGCATTTTTTTCTTGCGCTGCTGTAGGGTGAGCTTGATGAAAGGATGTACCATGATATTAAGTGGTCAATGTTACTGTCTTTAGAGTACAGATTTGTTTTCATGGCACATCCTTTCATCAAGCCAATCTCAATACATATCGCACTCTACTTCTATGAAGCGAGCACTATACTACGGAAAAATCGAAACACGGACTTCCTATATATACATATATACAAATAAATAAATTTTAGTAGTCAAATTAGTCTTCAGTTGGAGCGATTTTTATAGTCTCTCAAAAACAACAATAATTCAGGGTTTCAAGCTTGACCTTCAATAAAATATGGTTATCAGAAATAAAAATTTGAGGCCAAAAAAAGAAATAATTAATGCAATAGTCCACGTGAGCGCTGACCACAATGTTTTTCGTTGGATTAGGCAGTCAGGCTAACTTTTATGGAGATTTAAGCGACATATCAAGACCATCAGGATGAAAAAGGCACATTATTATCGAAGAAAAACGACGGGGTATGAGTAACATTTCATTAAAATGCTAGGCCCACTTTTACTCCGGACCATAAAAATAAGTTGCGGAAAAAATTGAGAGTCACAGGTCATTAACTTAAGTTTTTCCGCATTCAAGGATTGCGTAAGTTATTTGACGTGGAGCTCAAGTAGTAACACGGTTCCGCGCGAAAAGTTTGCTGACCAGCCAAAACCTAATTTTTTTAGTCTTAACACGGTTTGAAGGTTCAGTCCTATTTAGGATAGCGTTCAAAACCGTCATAAAGGCAAACAAATCTGTTTTGAACTTTGCCCATTTCTTAAAAGGTATTACTGCAATTTTTAAAACCCTTTAATATCCAGAAGTGATAAACTCGTAAATTCTCCCTATAATAATCCAGACCTTTTCCAGTGGAGGTAATTATAATACTTAGAACTGTCTGGTAGAACTTATCTAGATCTAACACCAAATTGTTGTGATTAGTTTTCAAGGGAATGTGTAGCTGCTAGCGGGGAGAATTAACATCGGATCTTGGGAGTTAAAGGGTTAAGGTGGCTGATCGTTGTATTTAAGTGCGCCGTGTCTAGTTGGTTGAAAGCAAGCAATACCATTCATTTTTTGAATCGCTTTCTTGAAGGGGGGGGGGGTTTGAAATATAAGCCGTTTCTAGGGTAGCGCAGCTGATTTGAAATAAAGTTAAAAAGTATTTTTGTCCTTCAGTCATATAGAGCTGGCCTTCTACACTTCATGGCAACTTCATGTACCAACAGAAGTGAAATTAGTGTACGACTGCTGAATGATGTTTAAGTACTGTTGTCGGAGACTTGTATACTACCTTTTGAATGAAAGGGAGGTTGTAAGGGAAATCGAGTGTCACTGGTTAATCATACCGGGAAATAATGTGATGTGGGTAAGAAGCGATGCCACTCAATCTTTCACCGAAGGTTTCTCAAAAATTGGTTAAAAAAGGCGTCAGGTAATTCTCACAAAGATCGAGCGAAAGAATTAATTTCGATGAAACAAAAAATTATACAAGTATTCCTGGAGGTAAATCAGTTTAGTAACGGGGTAGAAAGAAAACTAAAAGGGAATTTCGGTCAACGTTCTCAAATTTCCCGTAAACATCGAATTCGTTCGCGAGTATTTTAAAATAATAAGGTTGTACAGGCCACCCCTGACTGGTTGTTTAACTCATCTGAAAAAAACTCATTTTGCTATTTAAATAAAAATTAAAACATAAGAATCTTTTAAAGATAATTTAGTTATTGTATGAAACCAAGTCATGAATGCGCGCTTGTGGTGAAAGGACTTCCAACATAAGGGTTTCTGAACTCTTTCCATCTGTATCTCTAAATTGACAGAATGCAGGCCAATCCCTAGTTTTTTCCTTATTTCATACTGGCTTGTTTCCAGTGACACGTTAGCTTTCCCACAGGCACATCCATTACCATGTCCATATATGCTCTGTAAGTTTTAAGATGGTCTAGTCGCGGGACTTCTAAGTCACTCGAAGGTCAAGATGACCATGTCACGTCCGCAATGGCTCCAGAAACTGTGGCGATGCAGCAACAGTACCGTTCAGTAAATACTGTTGATTGTTCTTATCCACATCTTCTAGGACATATTTATAGTTCATCATCAGTCCAAAGGAATTATCCATTCCTCGTGCGCTCACATCCGCCAACCAGTTTAACCTCCACATCCACGCACCATTCCTGATATGAAAATTACCTGACGGCGAAGAGACGATGAATACATTTCAGTTAAACTTATTTTAATAAATAGCGCCTCATTTCTGCGCGTAACTTCACTCGCGAGGAGCATGCACACATTGCCAACCTAGCATCAGTACAATATCTTTAGCCTTGACATCAATATACATATTCTCCATACCTCTGTAAGATAATGGTTAGTCTCAGGGGTTTTATGGTTAAATTGTCATTTTCGGAGAGAAATCGAGAAAACCCGGCAGTGATCAACCTTAAAGGTCAGAGATAAATTGTAATAGTAAAAAGTTTGTCATTTTTGTGGATGTTACCATAATTTCTACGATAATGGGCGATCATTCCTCACTTGAGTCTTTGTTTCGGCTTCTGGGGGGAATCGGGAAAGTCAGTAGAGTTCGTATTTTCCTAATGAGTTCATCACTTCTTCAATCATGGAGGATCATTTTTAACACAATCGTTTTTCAAGTGAGAAAATCTCAACAGCCGAGAAATTGTGAAATCTCCTACGTCTCGCATATTCTGATTATAACTTTTCTTTCGTATCATGTGTATAATTGAGCTTTATCAGCACTCGAAGATAAATTTAATGAAAGCAAAAACACGAAGCGAAATACTCTTGGCAAAACTTTGAAGTGGGACCTTCTGTGTAATTAACCTTGGATAGAAAAGAGAAAAGAATTTGCTGATATCTCTTGAATCACTTACCAACTGGATCCATGACAAATCCTCGCCTTTTCTCTTTGTATAAATACCTGGAAAGATCAGAAATGGAGAAAAGTTTGATTAATAAATGTGTTAGAGGGCTCTTCGAATGTACACGGGTACTTTTTGGAGGTATGAGGAGAGAGGAGCTTGGGAACGAGAATGGAGCGCCCGAAAACGCAAGGGACCAAATCACGATTGGTCCAAGCTTAACCCTTTACACCCTAATATCAGTATGCATATTCTCCATACTGTTCTCTATACATTTCCTATGGTGCTGACAAGGAGAATTAGCTTAACAATCCAGAGCTCCTGTAGTTGATCATTTCCCTTATTCTCATGACCCTAATGTTTGATTCAGGGGAGATATTGTAAGGAGAAATTAGATGCTAGTCACTCTTGGGGATCCAAGGGTTAACATCTGGGCCGAATTGTTCAAAGCTGGGTTCAGATAACCCAGGATTAGTGTGAAATCTGATTTCAGATCTGTGAGCTTTAAAAGGATATCAATTTTAATTCCACTGTTCTACAATTTGATGATTTAATGCTCTAAAAACAATTGGGAAAATAATTCCAAAACGGCTTTTGATCAGAGAAATGTAGAAACCTGGATTAAAATTTAACCCTGGGTTAGCGATAACCGGCTTTCGAACAACTGGGCCCTGATTGGTTGAAAGGGTGGCGCGATTTTTCTGGACCAATCACACAGCGCATTAAGGCAAAATTCATCCAACCACGGACAATTTCAATGACTCCCAATTAAAATTTGATCCACATCTCCAAACTGAGTAATCACCGGTTGGTGACTGATAACGTTGGCGATAAATCAGCCCATGTCATCAAGAAACCTTCCTCCTTGTTCCATCTTCCGATTACCATAATCCCTAAATATCCCACAATTTAAAAATAATAACGGTACGTACTTGGTACAGAGGCGTACTAATGGTTTCTTTAGACAGTCAGCTATACTTGGGTTAAGGTGCCATTCGCTGGTTTCTAAAAGGTTCTGACAACAGACAAACAATGCATTTTTCAGAGACAGTTGATTATCCGTAGCTTAAAGCTACTTTAACTTTCTAAAATGCCTGAGGACAATGGGCTGCAAAACTCTCTTCCGTCATTGCCAGATTACGATTTTTATACCTTCTAGAATAGAAATATGGGAAAGACTGAATTTGAAATGTTAAGACGCGAACTAAGAAAACTACTTCGAATATATCCCGTCGAAGCTTGCCGAAACAAATTTCTTCTCTTTAAACTGGTGCTTAAAAACAATATCTCTCGTGGGAAACTGATAACAATAATAATAATAATAATAATAATAATAGAAATAATAACAATTTTATTAGCCATTTTAATACCAGTAGTAAAAACAGTAACACTTGGATTCTTGCATTCTGGGCCATTTTTCATTCAGTCACTATCCAAAACACGAAAGACAAACTTTTAAATTGGTGCGTCATACTTAAACAGATGTGTTTTGCCCTTGCGCACTCCTCTGCAAATCAATCGCTTGATAATTGCCATATCAGTAAGTAGCAGGCTACGAGATTAATAGAATGAGAAGAAATCAAAATTTAATTATGTTTGGCGCTGAAGCCATCTAAATAACGGAATACACAAACCTTAAACAAGGAGAGCGGAGACAATTCCGAATTTGAATGGCTGCCTTGGATAATTTCCTGTTCATCTTCCAAAAGTAGCGTTTGGGGAACGTCATTTGCTAGCAAGTAAAACGATAAAAATCAACAATCTCGACGAATACATCTGAACCTACTTTAATTATGAACCCATTCACCATCGAATTCTCTGTAGCTTAGATGGTAGCTTAGATGGTAGCTTAGATGGTAGCTTAGATGGTAGCTTAGATGGTAGCTTAGATGGTAGCTTAGTTGATAGCGCACCCTGCGGATAGGCTACGTTTTCGCTTTTTCAAGCTTTCAAATGGTCAACTGAGATTCAAACTTTTACTCGTGTTCACTGCCTTCTGTAAAGAAGAAAAATCCATTCAGAGAAAAGGCAAAAATTTCTGAATGCCTAGTCTTCATTAAACTTATTCCTTCCTTCATTTTTCTTCCTAGTTGGGACATTTCCCCCCCTCCCATTAAGCTGGTATTTCCTAAGTAACGTTTCTTACCCTGCTGTTCCAGGGCGTGCGATAGCTGCAGCTTTAGCCACTGTCTGAAGCCAGGGATAGGGGACAGTGTCGAGTATTGCGTGATGTTTGGAAACTCGTGCCGTAACTCTTCCACGACGTGCTTAATCAGAAAATTACCCAGATCTACGCCACTAAGTCCTACAAAAAGGGAAGAGAAATTATCTGTACTCATCCAAACCGTTTTACAGTTGTTCACTAGTTGAATCTCCTTACGCATATTTGTCCATCACAGATAACACTTCCTAACCAACACCTCCGCTGTATTTAAAACAAAGTTTTTCCTTACAAAGCCAGGCGCTCTTGTCAACAACGCTAGATATAAGAATTTTGGCAAAATTCATCGCCAATCTGAATGTCATGACAAGAGTATCAATGTGGCATATTGTAATGGAGAGGCAGAGAAATTCGGGACGAGAGAGACCTTTGGCCGGATCATAAGGCTATGTTCTTGAGCACGACGCTTGGCTATCATACGACCTCGCTCCACCCAAGAATACAAGTCGGTATCAACGAACAAGAAAACCCAACGAAAAGCTGGGGAGTAGACTGCGACTGACTAGCATCCTATCCACGGGAAACAGTAATACTTCTAGTTGCTTCATGCTACGTAAACCAGGTAAGGCTTGTGCAACAATAACCTTCCTACCTTTCAATCTAAATGACAGTGCAAGGCTGTGTTTCAGCCTTTTTTGGACTTGTAGCCATTTAAATTCAGTTATTTATTTATTGAAAAAAAAAAAAAAAAAAAACCCTGGTCTACGCACATGCATCCATTTCTTCTTTGAAGGTGGGAGGTGGAAGGATTTGATTACACATAGACCAGAGTACTCCTTAACCCATGCAGAAAATAAAAGTATCAATGTTTCTGGGAAACCTATCCTTCATTGCCTAAAATCACACCTTTTTGTGTCGAAGTGATAGAATAAAACACTGCTGCGGTTCTTTTCTCTAATTCATATTCACACGCGTCTCGATCCACCTCCGGTTCACTCAAGATAACCTGGATTGAAAGAGAGACTGCAGTAAAACACTGACTAAGGAACAGAAATCAGTTGATGGTAACACCTTGGCCATTATCAAAATAATTTTGGGTTTTCAAGAAGTACCCTTAAGAATGAAAAGCTTTTTCCAGACTTTTTCTGAATGACAACCCACCTGTATATTATCAGCAATTTCATATTCCAGTGCAGTGTGTAACACTACCACAGGTTCACCAGGCATGGAGCGATGTGTGTAAATATAACATCTCCTGTCAGGAGCAAGTCGCCGCTTCAGGTCTTCCCAGCCAGACATTGAATGCACTGCCTCATAACGCAATACCTGAGTTACAGAAAGCATAACATTGTTACCTCATCACCATACATCCCGAACAACCAGGAATATTACAGTTTCTTTTCAATACAAATTTCAGGATTAGTCATTTTGTAATTTACAGGGACACTGAGACCCTGCTCAAAACAATGAATCCCGACTTATCATACGTCAAGCTTAAGATAGAACAACATAGGCAATTTACCCCAACCAAGAAATGAAACCTCTCACTCAAGGTAAGGTTGAAATTCTACCCTAGGGGACAATTTCCCCTTTACTACATTTACAGGATTGTCAAAAAAGCCAGCTACCGGCGCAATTCACCGTCCACCCTGAAAAACACACCAGCTATTCTAATTATTTTTGGTTCAATTGTCAGCATAGAAGCAGGGCTAAAAATTACAGTACGGTCTACTACAGCGGTACGGTCGCCAGTCAAAATGACCTGCAAAACAAAGTTTACCTCGGTCATTTCTGTAGCGCTTCTTCGAGCTTCTAGTTCGAAGTGCACTTTTTTATATCTTCTGTTTCATTCTCCTCAGACAATATATCGTTGAAAGATGGATTACACACTCTAGTCTTACTTTTTCCGTACATTTCGACTAATTAAGGAAATGTTTGACACCCTTTTTTGGAGACGAACTTGTCACCGGCTTTTGTCAACCCCGCCCCATAATATGTTAACGAAACTTTTTTTCTGAATCATTCTACCGACTCTAATCGCGTCATTATTGTGCGGCCTAAGTGTCGAGCGTTATGGAAAGGCCTGCCCGCTGAGTAGTCACGCCGAACTTAATTCAGTCTACCTGGAACTGAATCGTTTCAAACGCACTGCCATTATCTTCTAGGTGAGTCGGATCTAATTCCTGAGTTCGGCAGAGTAATGGCGCGACACTTCGCACCGCCTTTTTGGCATAGCATTTGAATTAAAAATAAACTTGTGAGGAAATTAAAAACTGTTCTATCGTAGCCTCTCGTTTAGTTTTTATTACGTTGTGTTATTGTTGCTGTTTGTTGTTCAGCTTCCTTTTTTTCGTTTGACTTTCAGTCATTTAATGTGACTGTTCAACATGACCGCTGAATCGAAACTTTGACCGGTCAAACCCCAATCAGGCCGGACATTGTCTGGTCACCGGCCGTTATTTTTACCCCTGGGAAGCATGATATTGTGTCACCTACTCATGGACTCACATGGGTTTATATGGGGAGATTTGAAGCTCAACCTCATATGAAATCATTCAAATTTTTGCGAAAGAATGATGAGGTGAGATCTTAGAAACAGAGATACTCCTGTTGACTTGGCAATTATGTTAAAGGTATGAATTATGTGCAGCTTGCCAATAAGCACCTTTTCTAGAATACTACCAGGTGATTCCCAGGTGACCTGTCTGAGATCCAGTAATCCAACAGCAAACCACTGAGCCAAGAGATTCTTGATGGATGAACTAAGAGCTTGGAGTTCCTGTCTGGCAAGTCGATCCTTCTCTTCATTCAGCCCTTCCTTGCAAGAAATTTATATCAAATACTTATGTCTACTTCTTTGCACAAGTAAAATGCCACAGTCAGAATATTTTAACACACTACTGTGCAAGTAAAGGGCACTAACAAAATCAACATGATATTTTTAATGGAAACTGGCCATTTCCCATTCTGAAGACAGCTCCCACTCACCAACAAGTCACCTCTCATGTCAACAATGTCCTTCACACCTCCTGGTAGCTTACTGATCTGGGACAGTAATTGGGTATGAGCTGGTTCAAGAGCTTGCCGCAACTTTTCCTCTGCTTTTAAAATGGCTGGAAGTCCATTTTCCTATGAATAAAACATGAAAAATGGCAATTAGTAAAATTTAAAATTTGCCCAGAGGCAAAGGTTCTTCAGACTAACCAGTTATCTAACCCTTTCACTTTGAGGATCTCCTTACTTCTAGCCCTTTCTTTTAATGTTCAGTCCAATAATTATTTTTTGACAAGTCAAACAACAGCCCCAAGTTATAACTAGTTTTTAATTACAATCCTTTCTACTTGACGATAAACTGTTATTATATGGACAACTAGCTTGTAGGTTTCTAAAGAGAGAGAATGGCTTCAGACCAATTAATCCTGTTCAAAAGTAGAAATATGGCCAAGGTTCATTTAAAGCAATGTATCTTTCAATAGCAGGGTGGTTTGTCCAACTATTTAATACAAGAGGGATAAAAATGGCTCAACATTGCTATTGGAAAAAAATGTTATTCATTTCTTTAAAACTGCTCCAGAAGTTGCCCTTTCATATCTCAAGGAAATATAAAAGAAATACAATCCACTTAAATTCTGACCACTCATGGCAGTTGCACAAATACCTCACACCATTAGTATTGAAAACCTGGGTTTAAATTGCATTAAAACATATTGTAGTCTACCTGAGAATTTGCCAAGCTGTTAGCGACTTGTAGAACATCCTTGTGGTCTACACCAAGATCTCGTTCCAAAACCAAAAAAAATGCCAGTTTCTCAGCCTTTCAAAAGAAAAAGGTTCTCATCATTTAACTAATGAAAACAAATCTCTGCTAATTAAAGGCTATAATTCCTACACAGCCAAGCTGGTTCACCTTGGAGTTTACAATTTGTAAAGCTGATAAAATAACATGCTTCCTTCTGTGTTTTCAAGCAAAAGAATTTCTCAGCTTATGAGTAAATTTAAATCATCGGTTACATCACAAACTCACCTTTGTTGACAATCCACTGTAAAAGTGTTTGATTTCTTTGGCAACAGCCTACATTTCAATTGAATAAAAAAAAACGTTAAACCTTCTGCCAATAGCATATCACAGCATAGTGGAATTGCAGCTCCATATGTCCATCTATGCCTAAAGAAAATTTCTGGTAAAGCTAAAAAAAAAGAGTTGAGATCTAAATCATTGCAACATTCCAATTTTTTGCAACATCATGATAGGAAGAATAATTCTGAAATTGTTTCCCCCCCCCAACCTGAAAAGATGACAGGAGGACTGGGGTTGGGGATATGCCGGGATGAATTAGCATCCTTTCCAGGGAAAAGTAACAATAGTCCTGGCTCTGGCCTTAATAAGCCAGCTTGAACAGGCAGCATGCTTTCACAAGGCTTCATATGCTAGCTGAGTACTAGACAATTGTTTACATTTGGCATAAGATCACCCCCTGAGTCTGTTCTCCTCATTCTTGCTGCTTTACTCAGCATTTCACGTATTTGTGTCATCCTCATCTGGGATGGAAAATCCTCAACATGTGGTGGAGAGCTGTCAGCCATCTTAAATAACAGCCTGAGCCACTTGGACTCTACATTGTGAACCTGACAATAAAAAGAGACCCGCAAGCAAAAATTGGAAAATCATATTATAGAGCTAAATGTCTATATTCCATTGTGAAAGAAGACAGTGTAGCTTATTTAACAATTCAATTATAAATAAACTGAAGACATGTGGCATAACAACTGCTGAGGGCAAAGCCCATATCAACTGTCACACAGAATTTGAGAGGCAATTATCAAATTTATTTTGGTATAAATCAAATGGTTCTTCAAAACTTAAAAAAAGGCAGGCTTATGTTCTAGGATGGATGAGCATAAGTTTGTACAAAAAAAAAACAATAACAGCTTGATATTTTAAATTCAAACACCTTATAGTGTATCACTTAAGGGGGAAATTACAGTTGAGACAATTAAACCAATCCTATCTATCCTCTTTGAATTAAAATGTGCAAAACAGTTTATTAAGTGAAAATACAATTTACCACATTACTTGAGGATGTGCAATAACTTCTAGTCCTCCAATGTAAAACACAATGTTTGGATAGTTTATTTTGATTCCAGTTCTTGAATCCTGGAATGAATCTGTACAAATAAGAGAGTACAGAAAAGATGAAAATGAAAATATTGGCATCAATTTCACCTAGAACAACAAAACTGAAATAAACCTTCATAATTTGCAACCCTGATTAAGGAAACATTTCCTGTAAAATTGTGAATCTGGATGGCATCGTGAGTGGTCAGGCAAGATAAAAGAGACCCTTTGTCCTGAAAGGTCATATGCCAACATGCAAGATTGGCTGGACTTATCTGTTGGGTATTGTGTGCTCTACTTGAAGAAATAGGCAAATTATTTTGGTGCAATCTTTCAGGTTATATTAATAATACATCCAACATGTATATTTTTGACTAAGTTTATTTGACCAAGATTGGTGGATACTAGCCTCTTTCTTTTCTAACATGTAGGTTTTTAAAAACAAACAGAATGAGGAAATAAAATGAGCAATATCAAGTCGTCTTGAAATCACTTGATCTGTAGCCAACATGTACATACATGTATATTGTAATTTCATCTATTCTCGTCTGAGTTCGTTCAGAAATTATAAAAAACATTTGAATTGCATATATACATATATTACTAACGAAATATTTTGACCATATCTAGTCATCTTGAAATCACACTTGATCTACAACGAAGTATGTTGTAATTTGATCTTTCCTCGTCAATTTTAAGAGTGATACTACCTAATGACGTTTAAACCGTATTTTCAAAGTTTCTTCATAGGTAATGGCAACACAAAGATTACACTATAAAAAGGTTTAACCTGGTGAGGTATTGCGTGCTCGTAAGTTTTGAAATAAACGAAAGATAGGCTGTAAAATTAAAGACGAGCAGCACAAACATAAGCCTAACACAACAGGCAGTACACTAAAAAGAGTATTTGAGAGCAAAATTTGGACTTACGCGAAAAAAATTTCACTGATATATCTTTAACCCATCAAAAATCTTTCTAAAAAGTTGCACTCACCTTAAGACCAGCACACGTTGCAGTATTTTCATGACACTTTCAGTTTCACTACGCTTCTTGGAAAGTTTGAGACGACTGAAGAGCTGTAGAGTGACCAGCGGACTACCACCTAAGAATATTTTTACTTTGTTTAAGTACTTTGTATTTGTCCTGACGAACTGCGCGGCCTTTGACGAAATGTAAGAGGATGGGTGTTGGGGGGTTAGCTTTTATTATGGCGAGTTAACGTAACAAATTCACAGTTGTTTATTCAACCTACAATGCTTGATTTAACCCTTTACCTCCTATGAGCGACCAAGACAGAATTTCTCCTTACAATATCAATACAATATCAACCAGATGAGTGACGAGAATAAAGAAAAATATCAAATTATTTGGAAGTAATAAGTTGATCCAATACTGAATTCTCTGAACTAACATTATAAGAATTGGTTGACAGTGAGAAGAATTACAAATGTGATCTGGGAGGTAAAGGGTTGAGGTGAAAGTGAACAGTGGTGGAAGGGGTGTCTGGACTAACTTGCAATTTGAAGCGATAAGAAATTGATGAAAGGCAGTATATATTTGTTATACAGCTTTACAAATCTGAATGTCAAATCTCATGGCATATATCTATGTAGGCCATGACAAACAATATTCTTGTCCTGTAAATTTTTTACCTAACTTTGCTTGTAATGGTGAGCCCAAACATATACAGGGTTGTGGGTGTTAGTTTCTAAGAAACTGTGGTGCTGCATCAGTGGGGAGTATAACAAGATAATTTTGGTTTTATCAGCAAAGAAAATTGGCCAAGAATTTCAAAGTTAACGTTTTGAGTATTAGCCCTTTGTCAGAGCGAATTTATCAACTCAGTTGATAAAACCAAAAGTATCCCCATATAGAAGGTTTATGTGTAGCAAGATCCTATAAACTGTTTGTTCAGCCCTGTAGCCTTTCACCATAACCAGATAATTTTTAATATAGATGGTTCAATAAATATCTTGTTAAAAGCTCTCTATAAGATCTCTATCATACAGTATTCACAGTCATATATACACATTTGAAAACTACAGTCAAACAATACAAAAAGACCATATTAAAGAACATGAAAGCAATAAGACCTATGTAGATGTAACAGCAATGCTTGTAAAAAAAATTGATCTTGTACAAGATAATTTTGAAATTAACAGTCTAAGTGCTTCAACATCTTTTTGGTAAAAAAGAATAAAAAAAAAAGTTGACACTGGCTAAAAAATATATTGTTCTAGACATTTCAGCTACTACTTTAACATCTCTTTATAACTGTCATGAAATGCACTCATGATGAGCCACAGTATTTGTCTGCCAGTCTGTTTTTTCCAAGACTCTGGAGTGCCACTGAAAGATGAGCAAATGTTGCAGTCTTTCCTTGGTCAATCCAGGCTAAAAGCATTTGAAAAGCTTTTTCCTTTATTCCAGGGTACTGAATATTGTCACCCTGGATCTCCTCTAGTTTGGCATTTGGGATTTTCAGCTTTCGCCCCAAAGGCTTCCAGAAAGAGACAATTTCTTGAGATAAGTTTGCCAAGACTTCTTCTGATGGCTGTTCATGATTGCTGTAATCTTCTTGGTCTATCTTTATCTTTTTGGGTGAGGGACCAACTATTTTCCAATAAAACAGGCAAGATGTTCATGAACCAGTTAAACCTCACAATCTCAAAAGCAATCAAAACAAAGCTTCTCTTTACAATATCAATACAGTATCAGGCTGATCAGCATTGAGCATAAAGAAAATTAACAGCTGGCAAAATGTCATGAAATGACATTTAATTCTCAGGAAAATTGAAAAATAACCATAAATATATCACTAAAAGGAGAAATGATGGATGAACTCAAGGTTTTATTAAAAAAAGTTGTCTGACCTTCAAAGATCTCCTTGTCCTGACTGTCTGAGAAGCTGTCACTGATTTTTGTATCTGCATTAAAAGGAAAAAAGCTCATTATTGTCCAGCCAGTGGTAAAAAATTTCACAACAAAGGTAAAAATAATATGAAAGAGGGTGATGCTCAGGAGAACTTCTTTTCCATGTGTTCAATCAATCACAGAAGATATGCCTGAGCAAGGATATAGCTTGAAAAGGGACATGCATAAATATCATTCTTAAAAATGATTCTTTATCAGATTAATTAGCTCCATCAACTGAAGTTTTAGTCTAAAATTCTTGGTAACAATAAATATCCAAACAAATAACACCCTATCAAATATTTCTTAAACCTTCCCAGCAGGACAAATATTAAGTATAGTCTGCATACAAGGATCCCATGGCTTTCTGATTCAAAATAGACTCTAATGATAATTTGTTTTATGCTAAATAAGGGCTTGTTTTGGTATATCAAAAAAAGTTTAGACAGTCAGAAATTTTACTGTTGTTCCCATAACAGACATTGATAGCTGATGGATACTAAAAATCAGATACATCCATACTTATTTAGGATGGTCAGAGATGAATCAGAAAAATCACAACCACTTCTTTTTTCCCCAACATGTTCCAGATTCTTGTCAGTATTCATTTAGGGTGTATAAAAGTTTCAGTTTTGGCTGTCAAGAATTTTGGTAATGCTAGTTTTTACTTCAAACGGCTTATACTATTTTGCAAAATGAAACAAAACAAAACAAAACCAGGTGACATATAACAAAACTAAAGGAATAATGCACATATATTTTGTAATAAGGTAAAGATAACTTTCACAAGGATTTTGGAGTAATCATGAATTAACAAGAAGGATTTCATTCATTTTGCAACATAGTTATTTAAGAAGAGGTACTACTTTGCAAAATTGACTAATAGTCCATTTGGCAAAATAGTATCTCTCCTAAAATTACTATTTAGCAAAATGTACTTTAATATGGTTTAAGAAATAAGGAGGCCATAATCTTTGGTGATATATTAATTTGTAATGTTTAAATATATTTTTTTGACGTGAAAGAGGTCAAGTTGTCACCACAGGGTGAAAATGGTCGATTTTGCAAAACAATAACTCTTCTGAAATGACTACTTTGCAAAATAAATAAAAATCCTTCTCATCAATTGATGATTACTCCAAAATCCTTATGAAAGTTATCCTTACCCTATTAGAAAATACATCTGCATTATTCCTTTAGTTTTGTTATATCTTGTTGGTTTCGTTTAGTTTTGTTTCACAAAACAGAATAAGCCACTTCAAACAAATTCTAAATTGCTTGGGTAGAGTCACACAAAGTTTAACATTCAATCAGTAGAATTGGGGGCACATGTGTTTGCAATTTTCCTGATATACTGGCACAGTCTGGGATGGTGAAGAAACAGTGAAATACACTATCATCCCAGATTGTTTTTTCCAACTAATGATAGCCAGCATTTCACTGTGATATCAATCTTGGTGAATGAAAAGGTACAATAAATAAGAAACATACAAGTTCCTTCCTGCAGATGCATCAGAATTTCACTGCTCAATGTTCCTTTATTGTAACTAAGTTCTCCACATCCTTTGTGATGAACAGCAATCAGTGCCAGTCCCTCAGAGGCCAGTACTGGTGAACCAGAGGAACCAGTCTCAGTATCGGCTTTATAGAAAACAAAAGGTTTCTCCACATTTAAAATTTTTTCTTGAGAGAAATGCTTGGATCGTCCTTTTGGATGTTGAATTATCATGACATTCTCCCCCTTTTTCAATTCCGGCTCTGGTTCCATAAGTATAGGTTGAATGGTTAGGTTCAAACCATCAATATCTGTCTTGTCCACACCAACAAACGTATAGTCAAGCTCCTGACAACAACAAAATTAATCATGAGCACAATGTGAAATACCTAAAATGCTGACTATGGTAACTTTACAAGGTGATAACAGAGCATGTCAAGAGCTATAAAAATTTCAGAGAAATGGCTATGCCTCGTTGCAAAGTGATGGAGCAAACAAGAAACTAATCCAGAGAGCATAGGATTAACTCCTGAGTCGGGTTGTTCAAAGCTGAGTCAAGATAACCCAGGATTAGGGAGAAATTTTATGTCAGATCTAAAAGCTTTCAAAGAAATTTTTTTTGTCTACAATGTTGTGATTGGATGTTCTCATGAGAATAGAGAAAATTATCCCAAACAGGCTTTTGAACAAAGAAATTAAGGAAACCCAGATAAATTTAACCTTGGGTTAGCACTAGTTGGCCATCAAAAACTGGGTCCCAAAGGAAAAAATTTTTCAGATATCTTTTCACAGAAATGATTGTATCATCCATAAAACTATCAATTTCAAATTGTGGCACAATTGAAATATGTCAAAATGGAAGAGTCCAAGAAACCCACAAGTGAGGAAGGTTGAGAACAAATGATCAACAAACAAAATTAATGTTTATTTAAGGTTCTCTCCAATTAGCCATGGTAACCAAGCCTAGCACAAGATGGAAACCTTCTGTAATTGATTGGTCTAAGTTGGAGATGAAACTGTGAAATCAACTGGAAAGCCAAAATCCAAATTTACTGCATTACATCATTAGTGTACATTCTCCTTAGTCAAACTCATTAGATAAATCTCCTGTCACTATAAATTTGCATTTCATAGTCCTAATAGAGAACCTTTGTTATATTTTAAACTCCCATATGGAAAGCAACCTTTAGGACATTGCCTACAGGAATATTTTCTCTAAGCCGACGAAATTTTGAAAATCCTCGAATGCAATTTCCAAATGGTGCAACAACCAAAATCGGTGTGGGGAAGGAGGGGGAACCCGATAAAAAAATGGAGTTTCAAATTTTATTTATTTCTTCAGTCCTGCATTAACAAAAAAGACACGTTTGTCTCAAAATAGCTAGAATAGAGAGGATACGGGCACGTCTAGCCTCCAAATTTTGAAATTGCCTAGGAAGCTTCATTGTAGAATTGGACGGCGCATTATATCACATGCACATACTGCACTAACCTTGTTGGTACGAAACATTTTTTCTGGTTTTAATTTAACCTGCTGTCCTTCTTCTGATCCTTCATACCCGAACGTGGCGTGAGCTTTTTCAGCTTCGTTTATTGAGCCAAGCACGTGGTTATTAGTAAACACCCCATAAATTTCAACACAACCTCTTTCACTTGGCATATTAAGCTTGGATAGGAAACCGGTACCTCGCCTAAAATTTGAGAAGAATCGAGATAAAGTTAATATGCACAACTTAAAAGTCTTGGGAATAAAAGAGAGTACTGAAAAATACCACTAAGGAAACGATAATTATAACAATAAAACGAAATCCTACTTTAGTCGCTCTTTGCGGGAAATCGGGTCTTTGAGAACAGTCTCGATGTAACACACCGCGTTGATTTTATCCGTGAGAAGTTTGGTACTCTGAAGGCCATTACCTTCACTTAATATGACTTCATTTTGTTCCATGGCAGCCATGAAAATAATTTCAGCGAGGTAGCGAGGAGGAAAATGCTAGAGTGAGCAAATTTTGTTTACGTTTTGCTTCCACCTGGTCGCCATTCTTATGCAAATAATCTCCCGCGCAAGTGAACTCTTCCCCAGTCTACTCCCAGGAAGGATAGAGAGGTCAGTCTGGGCCCTTCTGAAAGATTTGTCCCAGACAGACTCCCAGACATAATTTTACCTGTATCAAATTTACTTTCCAAACCCATTTTCACTCAAAAAGAAGTTTCGTGACTTTAAGAGACCTTTATTAAGCGAATACCGACGGGATATTGGGTGTTTGTTCAACATAAGGTCTAGAAAGTCACGTTACGATGAGCAAACATGACTTTCTAAGAACGATCTCTGCGGAAATCTCGCCCGGTATCTCAAAGGGTGTCCCCCGGGAGCTCTCTCGGGATCTGGCGGATAATCTCGTCTGAATCCCGCACTGAATCCCGACGAGATCCTTAGCGACAGCGACAACAATTAACCCTTTAACTGGTAAGAGTGACTAGCTCTAATTTCTCCTCACAATATCACCCCTGAATCATGCAGTAAGGTGATGAGAGTAGAGAAAATTATCAGCAGCAAAGAAGCTGTAAATTGTTCTATAAATTCTCCTTACCAGCACCTCAGGGAATGTATGGGGAACAGAATGGAGAATACCTTTACCGATGTTTGGGTATAAAGGGTAAAGAAAACAAACGACCGGTGAAAAGATAAATACATACATTAACAGGTAAAACGATTTGTGTGTAGCCAAAGTTTAATTTTTAAGTATGGGGTAACCGAAAAGTCCAAGTGTACAAGTAAGGTTGTAAATTAAGTCTAATAAATGAACAAGTAAATAAACAAATAAAATATCTGATGAAGTTAAATTTTAACCAAACAAGAACGTTCCTTTAGAGGGTTCAACCGAGTATTGTCCGCTGACTTTTGAAAACTTTTATATTTGGCCACTTCCAATACAATCAATTCTTATGTTACTACATTTGATGCATTTCCTAAGAGTAGTTACTTGCAGTGAACGATATAATAAGCCCCAAGAGGTTTTCTAGGGTTCTTGCAAGTTCCCAATAGGAGTACTTTTAATAAGAACACGAAGGGATCCAAAATGAGATTGGGGATATCACCCTGCTTAAGGAATGCCGTTTAATATATTGTATGCATTCCTTTGTTTGAGGAAGTAGGTTTCCATGATGCACTGAAACGCTATCTTGTCCAAATGAAAAGAAACAGAATGGTATAAACAACCGCAAAAAATTTTTATTACAGTATCATTTCGCTATGAGTTTTCACTGAAGCGTTCTCATTTAGAGGAGGTGAGAGAGGCAAGATGCAAACTTGAAGCTCTCGACAAGGTACTTACTTGAGCATTTGGAGCTCAAGAAAAACATTTGCTGATAACTTAAACTTACGCAAGAAATCAAAATTCCTTCCGCCTTGCGTTCGCCTCGACTTCTATTTTAAAGTGATTCTGCCCTCACTGTCCTATGGTCTCGTCTTATGGGGATAGTGCTGTAATAGTGAAATAGTGAAATACTTCAGTCTCTGAAATGGCCCCATTGCAGAGCAGTAAGATTTATTTTAAACCTTCCCTACGATATTTAGTCATAATATTTAGTCATTACTTTCAAAGAAGCATTACATCCACATGTACTTTCAGATCAGAAGATTTTATTTACACATAACACCTATTAAGTTAATCCCTCGAAATACTGTAATTTGCATGAAAGTTAGTAAACTTTACCCTTCTCGAAATTGCTGTACATCTTAGGTTTTGGACAAATCGTAACCTTTCGTGAGTCCATTGACACACTAGATCTTTAAATAAACGACCCCACAAGCTTTACAGCTTTAACAATTATCGTTTCAAAATAAAAGGATTTGAACAACCGCAAAACATTTTTATCGCAGTATCATTTTGCCCACGAGCTTTTACGGGAGCATTTTCATTTTGGGAAATTGGGAGAGGTAAGATCTAGTTTACTAGAAACTTGAAGCTCTCGACAAGGCACATACTTGAGCGTTTTCGGTAAAAGATTTATAAGAATAGTTTTCATTAAAATGTCATTTTATGTAAGTCCTATGACAAGTAACGCGCCTGTTTTCAACCTTCCAAACAGGAGACTTTCTAGTCACACTTTGTATATTGTCCTGAAGTCGTTGTTAATTAGGCTTAAAGCGAAACAAGCTATTTCACTGGAGGGGATAATGTAATGCCCCCAGACACCAAGAGAAGGTTCCCCTACCCTTACCCGACCCAGCCCGATGAAAAACAAAACGACGACAAAAAATATGCATGAAACAAACACTTTTGACACTGGTCTGGGTGTAAAACAGGATGAACTGATATAAATACGTTAAAAAAATTAAGTTTTTCGCTTATAAAGTCTGTGTCAATTGGAGCATACAAAACCACGAACTTTCGCGAAAAGAAATATTTTTTTTCTTTCCTATAAACAATAAACTGTCCATGAATAGTTATCAAACAGTTCTAACTCTCTTGTGCATCTTCACGTAACATGGCGATAAAGGGTGCGGAACGCCCACGACATGTCGCGGAGACGGCAAAGGAACCTCTTCCTTCACTAACTCTAGGTCAAAACTACAAAGAAGAAGAGATATAAACATTTGTATTTCCATCATGGCAAACCGACGACCTGGACACTGAAAGCGACCGCCGCCAAACGCAAAGAATTTGTCAGAGGGGGCCGATTTATCTGAGTCTACAGTCTGATTCCAGCGTTCTGGAACGTAGGATCTTGCATCAGGATAGATGGCTTCGTTTTGATGCGCCCAATAAGGTGAAATCATAAGCGTATCACCTGCTGGAATTGTAAATTCACGAACTTGCATGGGTCCTGTAAGTTTGCGAGCAATCATTCCTGCTGGACGCAGGCGAATGGCTTCCAAAATACAGTGCTCCACCTTGCGCAATTTCTTAACTTCTTCCAGAGAAAGTTTCGCCAACGACCCTGCAAGACATGAACGAGTTGGATCACAGAGCTCTAGATTAGCATTGTAGCTATTTGCAGGACATGACGTTTTGTAAACCATATATTTCTTTAAATAAAGAGTGTTGTTGTTTGTTGTTGTTAGCTCTGTTGAGTTTCAAACAGAGATTAGTGATAATTTTACAGCTACCCTCTTTGTATTCAAGGAATTATCGTCCTTCGTCTTAATAAAGAATATTCAACAGCAAGTGTTGTTCTCAAGTATACAAATGCAACTTCGGGTGCAATGGGCACACAGCTGGGTTAATCCTTTAACTCCCATGAGTGACCAAGAGAGAATTTCTTCTTACAAATCAATATAATATCAAGCTGACAAGTAATGAGAATAAAGAAAAAGATCCATTGGGGGATTATTAGTTGATCTAATGCCAAATTCTCTGAACTAACATCATAAGAATTGAATAGATGACAGTAAGGAGAATAACTACTAAGATCTTGGGAATGAAAGGGTTAAAACAGTTAGTGAAAGAATTCATCTAGCTGCTACAGCTTTTTGATTACAAGAGTCTGGATACAAATATAAATTCAAGTGACCCTATGGTGAACTTGTGGATATACTGTGCAGGATGTGACTATGATATGCTGTCTCAGGTGGCTAAATGAACTTACAAATGGGTGAGTTCTTAGACCTTGAGACTCTGCCCTCCAAGGCTCTGCCACTTAACCACAGACTCTCTAGTGAGCTAGGCCAGTATTACCTCATTAACCTTTTCACTCCCAGGAGTGACCAAGACAGAGTTTCTCCTTACAAAAATCAATACAATGTCAAGAAGGCAAGTGATAAGAATAGAGAGAAATATCATTTGGGCAATTGTTAGTTGATCCAATACCAAATTCTCTGGACTAACAGAATAAGGACTGTATGGCAGACAGTAAGGAGAATTACTTATAAGATACAGGAGTGAAAGGGTCAAGAATTCAGATAGGTATTGTAACACTTCAGGCAGGGACAACAAGAGTCTAGTGTACTTACCACTGTCAATGTATGGCCCTAGTACAAGATCAACCTCCTGTTGGAGATCCTTTTTAATGCCTTGATCACTCAGTACAAAAGCTAAAGTCCAAAATGTGATTGGCACTGCATTTGCAAGGGATGCCCAGAGCAATAGAGTTGCATAATTTGGTGCACAATCACCTTCCAGTGATTCAACCATGGCTTGAAGTAATGTGTCCTCTACATTTGCATAAGTCTTCTTTTGCAGTGCCTTGCCAAACACATCCAACAGAAAGTATTTTGATTTTGCCCATTCTTTTAACAAAAAATCTGGTAGCTTGGCACCATGCTCAAAATTACTATCAAACTGATCAAATTGTTTCTGAAAGTGTTTAAATTCTTGATGAGTTTGAGGAAGAATTCCCTCACCAAACAGGACAGGTACAACTGCACTGAACACAATGTCACGAGCCAAACACATCAAATCAACTTCAGAGCCAGTAATTTTTGCTAGGAGAATTAAATGAATGAACATGAGTAGAGGAAAACATAAATACATAAAAATAAAAGTGTTTCACAAACATAGCATTTACCCCCCCCCCCTCACTGACTTGTCATGTAGCCATAGTTAGCCTTGCATGTGCAACATGACTGAATTTTGCAATTATTTACTGAACACCTTCTACTTTCAGCTGATCTCACAAGGCTGTATAGTATTTCTGGCCTTGTGGCTTTCAGATAGTTTTTATTTTTTAAATGCCTTTTCAGTACAATAATTCCCAGGGCTGCATGCATCATCCAATAACAAGGAAACTTCTATAGAGTATGCTAAGTTCAGAGCAGTTCACTTCCCACTCCTGTGTCAGGTGTCCCTGATAATTCTATGGTACCCTTTCAAATACCATGGAGGAGAATCTCACCTGTAAGTCAAACACTTTTCAGTGCCATTTCAGCACCTCATAATTTGAAAATTGTTATTGTTATCACCCCATTTTAATTCTTAACAATCTGTCAGTGGTTTGACTTTTATTGTGCTGAAATAACCTGCTGAGAACATAAAGCATGAGTCATGCAAGAAAAATTGAGTATAAACTAGTTATGCTTCTTCTCTACCTGCATAAATTTGCCACCCCTCATAATTTCCAGTTCTTTAGTGAAAAGTGCAAAATAAGGAAAATTGTGTGTTCAGTGGGATAGTGCTGGAATGACAGACTTGACAAGGTTTAAAAGTGAAGCCAGTTCTGGTCTCCTTACTCACATGCACTGCAGCAACTTATGCCATGTTTCTATGTTGTAGAAAGGAGCCTTTTGACACTGTTTCTCTCCAGAGTGGGAAGTTGGTCAATCTGGAGTCTATAGCCAGCATTTTTTTATTCATTGGTTTCCCTGACAATTCATTGGCACACATTTATACTCCTACATGGAAAAGGCACCATCTGATGAACATGATAAGTGACTTTGGTTTAAGTTGGCACCTGATTTAACCTTTTGATCCAAAGTCAAGAGCACTAACCATTGAGGTCAACACGTCTCTGAAGGAGTATGTCAATAAGGTGGGAATTCAAACTGCAACTGCCCTAAAGGTTTCTTTGAGTGGTGTTAAAAACTTGAACACTTCCCATCCTTCTAGACATACCAGTACAGCTTTTCATATGTTTTACTTCTACCCGTGACTAGTGGCCACATTTATAGTGCACTAAATGCTTTTTGCCGTGGAAACTGTGATTCATATGGTTATGGTTATTTGGCTTATTTCCAAGGCTTCATGATGGAAATCTCATCTAAACCTTTCAAGTGTTGAGTATGGAAAGTTTTCCACGCTAATAGCTACTCAGGTCATGGATTCTACAAAGTGTGTGAACCTGAGTTTTTTTTTAATGTACATAACCTATGACCTCAAGCCCCGATTTGTAGCACGTCAATTCGTTTAAGATAAATCTTTCAACCAATTCATTTTGATGGCTCCATAGAATTGGGAGATCAGATCGTTGTCATTGGCATCAATCTGCCCCATAATTAACCAGCTGAGCCGTAGGTCTGTAATCAATATCACAGAAAATTTCACCTCGCAGCGGTAGGTTCGTCCTCTGTAAATAATAATTATAGCTACAAATTAAAGATCAACACAAACTTACCACTTGCTGCATATTCTTCTAGTTTCCGACCAACTTTTGGAGTTAATTTGCTCAAGTTAGAAGAGGACAGCCTTCCTTTGACTAAATCATGAATTTTACGATGATTAGTAAAGAAATCCACCCTGTTGATTCCCGCCGTGTTCTTCACTGCATCTTCGACGGCTCGCTGAAAGTCTGCTTGAGGAGAGTTAAAAAATAAATGGAAATCTCGGACATCAGTCAAAAATGTCATTCGCTGACCAATTGCATAAAATGTGAAGACCTCGCCATGCTTTTCGCTGGATTCTTTGATGAAAGTCAGCGGTGCTTTTCCAAACTCGATCGCACATCCGAGCCAAGGAATCCATCCTTTGATAATCGGTGGGTATTTCACGTTCTTCGTACGCAACAAATTAAGTGTCATTAAAGAAATCACGAGTAAAGCTGCAAAAATGATGGATGATGAAAGCTGTAATAGTTCCGCAAATACAGCCATATTTGTTGTTCGAAGGAGTTTATGGGACAGAACGCCCCCTGGCGCGGGAGCACCACGCGGGACCCTCTGTGTAATTGTCACGTGACACCTGATCTCATTACGGTGTTAAATTCCTAAATTAAGGTAATCAGATAAAAAAAAAGACCAAAAAAGAGACTAATGTTGCTTAATAAAATCTCAAGAACAAGGCTGATACGATAAAAAGATAAATAAGTAATTCCTAACAACCAACTATCTCAAGCTATTTTTGAAACTAGTTTCCGGCGCAAGAGACAAACTGCGAATATTTTGTGTCTAAGCGGGTGTTATAATCGTGTTACCATAATCCTTGATCCGTGATCTAAGTGACCATAATAGGGTACGGTCTAAGGGCCACCCTGTAATAGATATTGCTACAGATTTTACTTCTGTTTTCTTTTTGTTTTTGTTTTTTTGTTTTGATTAGGTAACAGGCTTAAGTTCTGATTCGACAAATTAAAAGAGTGTGATCAGCCAGCAAGGTATGCTGCTGAAACTTCTCCATTGCATGCATTGCATAATTGCAGTGCCAACGATTTTATTAGTGGATATGTGTTGCAGTTCGTCAAAAATTTTAGCCAAAGTGATCAAATTTATTGCACTGTGGAAAACAGCGTGACTTTTTGTAATTTAGAACATGGTTATCGTTAAGAAATTGTAGGAATGTCGAAGGAAAGTGCACGCAATTTTGATACCTCAAGGTAACTTCCTCTCTTTTCCACCTTGTCTTGTGGGGGTAACTCTCATCCTTTGCGGGACTCATTGCTTATGTAGGCAGAAAGTGTGCCGCCATTGCAAGTTAAGAGCAAATGGGACAGAAAAGTTGCGGCATCCATCGATTTTAGATTCTTTCTTTTTTCGGATCAAACTGGGTGGCATCATTGAAACTACAGCCCCTAAAACGGATGTCGCTAATAATGCCAAAATAACGGGGGCGGAAGTGATCTTAATCTGCCTCCTCCAGTGACTAAACTGAGTTCAGTTTATTAAAAAACAAACAATGAACTTTTAGAAGGATCGTCATTTTAGGTATCAGTTTGCTGTTTTTCACTGTTTGACTGTGGTCTGAGTTGTCTGGTTATGACGAAATAGTATCTGAGCACGATGATGGGCCCACGGAGTGCTAACAGTAGGCACAAGATTTACACAATTATTTTCTGGAATTTTCCTTTTCTTTCCCACGTCGTTCGAGATGAGCAGTTTCCCTTTCATGGTAATGGCTTCAAATCTTCATCATATAAGTCACGATAAGGGCTTTCCATGGTTGTATATTTTTGCTTTTGACATTGAGAGACAAGAGTATTCTTCATCGTTCTGTTTACTCTTCATTCCAGGTGGTTTTAAGCATCATATGTGTAATCACTCTTTTCCCGAGTAACGTGCCATCACATGATCTCGGGAACGAACGAAGATCCAACGAGACCAAGCCGAGCTTCAGGCAAAGTAGCCCCCTTCTACCCCGATTCCACAAGCATCGGATAAAGAATAACAAGCCAGCAGTTTACACCAAAGAAGCATCACCCATAACGTTAACCCAACGTCCAACGAACAGCAGGCGAATTCGTCTTTTTGGCCGAATAGGACTGTTTCTTCATTGTAATGCAAACGGAACAGTTTCTGGTTCTTTGAATCGACACAGTTCATATGGTGAGTATTTCAGGCTTTCTGAGTTTATAATCTGTTTTTTTTTTTTTTTAGTCTGGATACAATTGCAACGTGTATTGCCAGTGTCTGACCGATTATTAATGTACATTTGTTTCAATTAAGTCGAAAGATTGTTTTTATAAGTCATTAACAGTGAGCAAATTAAGTTCTAATTTCCTCCCGCATAAGTATCCTTCCCAGCTGTGGGTTAGAGAACTGAGAAACAACAACGTCACAATTTTTAATGCGGAATTTAACACGAAAACGCATTACTGATTCGTTAGTGCCGTTAGTTATTCACTGAGTGGAAATTCGCCTCAAAGACGCTTAGCTTGAGCTGCCAACCGAAGCTACCTGTACTGCGATTTCCCGTACAATTTTCCCGAAAACCCCTCTGTTTCTCAGAGAAAAAAAGTTGTGAAACTATTTCGGTTAGAGCATTCATCTTTACTTTAAGGAATGCACGAATGTATGGCGCAAAACTATGAGCTCCTTGAATCAATTTATTTTTTTTAAGGGAAATCTTGAACCTTGTGAACAATATTGTTTGATATCAATACCAAGGTCTCCAAACGAATTTTAAGTAATGGAAATAAACGATCGCCGTGGGACCAATGATTAATAAAAATTCTAGAAGTGTTCATCAGCCACTGCCAAATTCATGACAACCTACACTGCGATCTTATTATCTCAAACAAAGTCATGACCAACATGACTGTGCTAAACATGATAAGAAAAGGTGCCTACTCATTCACACAAAGAAGCAGGAGTAGCAAATATAACGGCATCGAACTCACACAGTTAAATTCAAGTTCCCACTGCAAAAGCCGCTTTATAAGAAAACCAATTACCACACGCTACACGGAGGGATGGAGACATATTTCAATTAATGTTTTAATCACTATTTTAATGCACAAATACAGATCATACCGGTTTTTCTCACGAAATAGAATGATCTTTATTTAGAACTGACCCAAAAGGCGCTCAAGAGATCAAGGAATGAAAAGTGGTCGTAATCTCAAATCTTACACGTCTTTAAACGGTTGTTTGTCAATTCAAAAGAGCAATAATGAATGATATAAACCCGTTTGAATTTGCATGGGGAGTTTTTGCTGTTCCCTTAAAGCCTTACAGGAGTCGCATAGGACACGTGGCAAACAACGAACAAAGAGTGAAGGGGGAGGAGAGGGGAGGGAGTTTTTTTTTTCCTTTCATTTCGCTCCAATCTCGGCTTCACTCACGTAAATCCCACTTGGGTAAACGGAAATGGGAGCGACTGCTGTGCAGGCAAATTAAGACATCCGGTTTCAAGCCGATTTTCTGTTTTGTTTTTCCCTGATCCCCAGCGGTACTGCTGGTGGGAATAAATTATAGCAAATACCAAGGTCCTTTGAAATCCCTTAACAAGAAATTAAAAATTAAATTCAAAATTTAAACGCTCTTTAAGCTATTGACAACTTTGAGTTTGTCCTTTATGTAGTTTGTTTTGTGCATGAACTAGTTTACTAGAGCAGTATGTTCTTTGGCTCAATCTCGAGCATGTAATCGGGATCCTCCTATGTAGACTGATACTCGAGTCATCCGTGCCCTTCGGTTTTGCCAAACCTCCCCCTTAATAGAAAGTGTCTACTTGAACGGAAAGTCGCTCGATACTCGCAAGCGTTCGGCAAACTTCGTCGGTACATCGTGTAAAAAGGACGGAAAAATTTTATTAAAAGGCAAAGTGTATCATGTAAGATTCGATTGGAGCTTATCCTAGAGTTGCCATTCTGAGCAGTGTGTTAGCCACTCCTGATGTATTTCAGCTTGTTCCACGCTACTGTCAATGATAAGAACGGAACTGCGACCGATCGATCTCCGCTGGTTTTCGCCCTTGCCCCTGCCCCTGCCCCTGCCCCCACACCCAACCCCGCCTTTTGGTCCGCCTCCTCCGATCGAGAGCTAAGACTGGATATAGATCGCGAATGAAGCAAGATTGATTCCTTAGACTAAAACTGAAGTATCTCTGTCTCGCAGTAAAATTTGAGCTCCAGTCGTTTGGTCCAAGTGTTGTTCGAATCCGAAGCATTGGAACTGGGAAGTTCTTCGCAATCAACTCTAAGGGAATCCTGCATACAATCGTAAGTAGAGGAAGTTTATTTTATGTAATAAGCTCAGTTATGCATGCATTCTGATTGGTTCTCACTTATGATCTATTGGGAGGACAGACGTATAGGTGACGTCATCATTTAAACTTTTTAAATTCTTTATTATATAAAACAAGCACATCAGTGACACACTCGGCTACGCCTCGTGTGCCACTTTTTTGTTCTTACCACATTTTAACGTCATCTGTGATCTATTACTGAACAGACGCACGGCAAATTGGAATCTATTTGTTAAATGAGGCATACCCATACCAAAGCACAACACAGACGACGTCGTTTATGAAACAATACGAAATTGTTGTTGTTAATCTGTTTTCTAATTTTTCCCCTTCTTCTCGTATATTTAATTGTGTACGATAAGCTGACTTACACACGCATTTTGACCGGTTTTTGTTTATGATCTATTGACGGTCAGAGTATAGATGAAGTCACTACATTTTGAAGTCATCTGCGATCTTTTACTGAGCGGACGTACGGAAACACTTTCCATTTACCAAAGTTACTCATTTTTTTGTTTCATGTTATCCTCGTCCTCTGCCGCTTGACTACAAATTGCTTATTCTATTTTTATAGTATTTTTTCATTAGGTTTCAATTCCTTTGATGACCTTTTGGAACTCTCCATATCAATTGTAGGTATCTCCTTTTCTTTTGCAGGGAGAAGCAACAGACGAATGTTTATTCTATCAAAACCACGAAGAGAACCTCTTTCTATCGTTCGCCTCTTTTAAGTATTACATGAAAGAACATTACGACATGTTTATCAGTATAAAACGAAACGGAGAAGTAAAACAAGCTACTTCCACTCTTCCCGGACAGGACAGTATTCAATTCATCGCCCTAAACAGCGACAGCTTGAGATTGGCTCGACTCCACAATTGAATTATTCTGACAAGCGAAGGGATTGCGAAGCGATTTGGTTTCAAAGAATTTTGGGCTTCAGTCAATTTCTTTTCTCCGTGTTACAAGCCGAAAGCGAGGACCTACACGCTCCAACTCCAGTCTCAGTCGCTATCTTCTATCCACGTTTTGTTTGACAAGATACCGCAAAAACGCGTGCGTTGGTTTTCGGTTTTGCTTCTGAACCAATGAAAGGGTATAATTCGCTATGAACTCACACCTAACATTTGAATTTTTTTTGAAAATAGGGACGATTAACGCGACTGAAATCCTTCTTCCTCATGTTATATGTATGGTTAATTCCTTTCCTAATCAAGTAACATAAAAAATTGTTGCATGTTAGGAGCTTGATACCGTTTTTATTTGCTCGTTTTGGATACTTATATCACTCATTTTCCGAAGGACTCACCGAAAAAAAAATGCCGTGATGATATTAAGACTCGACAAAAAGGCAATACCATTCCCTTAACCCTTTGACTCGACAATATATAGTCAGTAATTCTCCACATTAATTCTCATAAAGTTGAAATCTGAAACCTGAAATCAAACAAGAGAATTTGGTTTATCCGAGCAAGAGAACGAATTTTCTTTTACTGGCGTGATAACCCACGCAGGAAGTTGCTAGAAAACGAGAAAAATTTGTAAATCAACTGCCCCCAGCTCGTGATTTACAACCTTTTCGATTCGATTTTCTCGTGTTCGCCTGACATTCTGTGTGGGTTATCACGCAGATAGTACCGCCTATTGCTTTCTTTAAATAAGTTTTAATTTTCTATGGGTGTACCGATGCAATAAACGATAGATTTTTGATCAATCAGGGTGTTGATATCATCTCAGTTATTTTATAAAACAAGATAACACCATGTAACTGATGAGCTTGTTTATTCTCATAACCTGTTTGCAAGATAACATAGCAGAATCGCAAGGAGAAGATGCATGCTAATCATCTCTGAAAACTCAAGAGTTAAACATGCAATACTTTACATTCGCCTCAAAATGAAAGGTATACATTGTTCAAAATATAAATTAAAAGACTCTACGACATTTCTAAGTCTGCGAAGATGCGTCGTGTCTTTTCGGGAAAACCAACAGTAAGGAAACTCGACTAGAATTTACTGTTTTCTAAGGAAAGTTTACAATTGTTAAATTATCATACATGGATCTTCCATCAAGGGGATACTAACATCGTATATGCATTTATGAGATGAAGACACTGATTTGTTGCACGGATTGTACTCTGATATTGGATAATCTGTGTAAAAATGGAAACATGGAAAATGCAAATGCTTGTCTCTGAGTGAAATTCCAGAGAATTGCTCCAAATTTGTACAAATGATTTAGGTAAGGTGCATTAACATGATTTATGGCCTCTGAATACCTATAAACATCTAAATCGAAAGAAGATTTCATATGTTAATACTAACTAATAATAGAGAATTTATTTTCCTTTTTTTCTTTCTTTTCGTTGATTTGTCTCTTTCTTTCAATGGCTACAGACTTTCCGAACACCAAAAAAATGTTCGATATTGCCTTCTGATTTGCCAAACGCTCAAGTTTTTCAGGCCAGGGAAATTTAAACTTTCTTTTGGCAGCTGAAAAAGTGACAAAAGTAATGGTTTTTTAGTTCCGGCGGCACAAAATGGCTCTTTTATTCCCATGTAAAAATCGCAGTTTCTTCTGTCTGTGCTCTGCTGTTAACCCATGTCTCTCTTGCCTTGTTTCACGCGACTTTGTCTTGCAGGCGTTGCTATTCTCATTTTATCGGTGTTGTTGTTATGCAGCAACAGAAACTGAACTGAGATTTGTCCAGGGTATGTCAGCTTTGGAGACTTACAGCGTCCATTTTGTTTGATTCCAAGGAACAGGTCATGTCGTTTGATCTTGAAATATTTGTGCGAAGTAAATGTATGGAAGTAGTTTTCCTCGTACATCGTCTTGAAAATGCTTTCATCCGAAATTTTAGACTGATAGAAGATAAAAGTCACAAAAGAGTTTAACCTCACAAAACTAAGTAACGATTTTAGCTAAAAATCCTAAGCCGGGGACACGGGTGCAAATACTCATTTTTCACACTTTGTGCTTTCACAGAGGTTAAACTCCCTTTCCCGATTCCTTCCCCAAAAAATTAAGATCGTCTTTGTGCGAGGGTAGGGTGAAAGGATGGAAAGGGAAGGGAGAGAAGGAATGGGGCTGCATAGAGAAAGAGGTGCGCGTCCAACTTTGCGAAGTTTTCCAAGACTCTTCGATGGTTTTTGATTGCGTTGGGTAAATGTGCTCAGTAAGAGAAAGAGAAAGAGGATAGTATTTCAACGCAGCAATTCCATGAGAAGTCCTTTCATAAAAATAGAAAACTAATTATTCTGCGAGTGATTGTCACAAGTATGATAACAATCGATGAGTCACTATTCTAAGGCCGTGTGCAGGGGGGAAAAAGTTTTTCATTAACCATACGCAAACCACGCGGGGAATAGAAGAATATAAAAAGGCAAGTCCCAGTCACCTTGTTTGCACCCTTGTTCACGTTGAATCCAATGGCCCAAACTCGAAGATTTGCGCAACAGAAAAAGTAAGTAACTGATATCAGTGTTTTCTGTTGAAAATCTTGTTATTTTCTTTGCGTATTGGCTGTGCCAACATATAACATTATCTACAATACCACATGGTCTAATAGATTAATTAGGGTTTCATCTGTTTAAAGATTTAAATGTATCATAACTTTTTTTTAAAATGAAACTTTATTTGTTAAGCTTGATATAAATATGAGATTATTTTTTTTTTATCATTTAAGTTGAAAGAGACGGCAGCTCTTCAAGAAACCACATAAAGGTAAGATTTTAAACATTTCTGTAATTGTGGTACATCCTGCATGTTATCAGATCACTTTTACGATAGTTTATTAATATAGCAATAAAGGACATATGTCTAAAACACGTGAATAACTCATTGTAATAATGATTTGTACCTCGACCTCTAAGGTGGATACGTTATCAAAAGTTAATTAAAACGTGATATTTGATAGCAGAACTTCAATAATTTGGTTTATTCTGGTTTATAATTTGGATCAGTTCGCAATTTTTTTCGGTTTACTTCGGTTGCTATTTCAGGGTTCGCCTTATTATACTTCATTTGTGCCGCAAATCTTTAAACTATGAATGTCTTCAGTGTCGTTCGAAGACTCTTCGGAAACGCACATTTGTGTTCGATGACTCGAAGTCTGTTTACCCCTGCGGTTATGGATGTTTTTTAAAGTATTACGTAATACTTAAAACTTACATAACTTACTTAATGTTGAATGAATGAACCAGAGCAAAATCTTAGCAAATATCAAAGTGAAGGTATCCGATTTCTAAGGAAGGGCTCTTACTTCTGTATTACAACTTGTGGGAAAACCTTTGAAGGGATGCCAACAATTTTGCGTTGAGATCCGTTCTCGATTCAAACCTGATCGACTGAGCTTCGATCATAGCGTTAAATAGTTTTGTAAACGATTAATTAAAAAAGGAAACCGATTTTCGCAATTACAGAATGGGCCGCGCTACTGCTCACTGCACATCTCACAAGTGTAATGTATTTCTGAGAATGATATTTGTAAGTTGGTTTACAGTGATAAATATGACACTTTCCTATATGCGCGAACGTAAAATAATGCGGGATTGGAGCTTGGGCGAGCAAAAAGTTATTTCCGGCATGATGGGATGTCAGTCAATCACAAGTTACCCTCTTCCCAACCCCCTTAGGAATTCACAGTTTGATTTTCCTTTCTATCAGGTGTATATTGCGGTAGCCAGTCATACTTTAGGGTGAAGAGAGTCAGCGCAAGGTTAAGTATCTTGTTAAAAATAAATTGCATCGACTTGCCAGGACTCGAACCATGACCTCTCTTTCCAAAGTATTATCTATTCTAATCATTCTCGACAAAGGCAAGCTAGAAACCAAGTCATACCTGTGTAATAATCCTTCCCTTTGAATTGATCGCCAAAAATCGTCCGCTGGCAATATTTCGCAGCCTGACAATACTCGTTCCAAGGGACTGGGACTCGAAAAATGCTAAAAGTACAAAGTTCGTTAAAACAAGCTTTGTGTGTGTGTGTGTGTGTGTGAAGGTTAGAATAAACATCATGGTTACATAAATCGAAGGAGGGACATATGTTCTTGCCTCTGGGGTAGGGAAGGGACGGTAACAGCTACTTACTGCTTTCACTTGATTCATTGACGATTCCGACAATACGGTTCTTCCTTGCCGTAACATTTAGCGCCAGAAAATATCCCGTCTTGCAAAAGAGCTGTACAATCTGTACATGAGAGGGAGTTTTAGATGCAACTTTAAAGATCTGGTAATTTATTCGAATATTAGCCGACGATTCGTCGATTCCATCACTGTCATCGCCTTTGGTGTGAATACATCTCGGACGGCGTATGCGAGAGGGCCTGGATACCACATACGGGAATGGAGAAAGAGCTAGCACGGCCCAAATAAGGCACAATGAAACTCTAAGCTGCCAGGAAAAAAATGAAGGCAATATGTTAGCGAGAAGTTCCCCAAAGAAGAGCAGATCTTATAACTTTAAATAAATGAACGTCAACGCTCGTGTGAGAGAGCCATGAATAGTCAATTATAAAAACGCCCTTTTCAAAAAGTGAAAAAATTACTTCGTTCCAGGGGAAGTGGCAAAGTTATTTATGGCTTCGATGAATGGAAATTTCTTCAGTTTTCTTACTGCTTTGTCCCCCAGTTGAAATGGAAAGGTCTGCTCTGTTATCTGTAGTCGGGTAGGGGGTCGTGTGTTTCCATATTTAGCTACTTGGCTCGCTATTTTTGGTTCGTTTTAGTGCACTGTCATCAGACAATGTTTTGTTCTTTCATAGCAACCGGCACATCGCTAGAGTCACGAACGAACAAGGGCAGGTCAAAATCACCTCCAACAACAACAACGTGAAAAACGAGAACAATTTTGTTTGTTATTGCCTTTCTTTAATGGTTC